TATATGGGATTTTCCGGGCAATTATCGTCTATAAAAATAAATTATTATTTTTCTAATAAAGTTTGTGATTTTTTCCAGCAATCTGAATATTTGTCGAAATGAAATTAAAATTTTCCTCATTAAATCACTAAATTTTCCGGGCAATTCTTTTTTTTTAAAACAAATTCTTGTCTTTCACACAAAGTTCGTGTTTTTTTTTTTTTAAATAATTCAAATTATTTTACTATCAAATTAAATATTTGCGGGTTTTGCCGTACGTTTTTTCAATTAAAACTATTTTCTCCAAATAAAATCAAAATTTTTGTTATTAAATTGCTATTCTTCCGAGCGAATCTCGTTTTTCAAGGCAAATTCTTGTCTTTACCATAAAATCCGTCTTGTTTTTAATAATACAACTTTTTTCGTATTAAAAAAAAATATTTCCAGGTTTTTCCATTTTCTTCCAATTAAATTCAATTTTTCCAAATTAAATAAAAAAATTTCTTATTAAATCGCTATTTTTCCTGGCAATTCTCTTTTTCTAATGCAAAATTTTTGTGTTTCTCATAAAATTTGTGTTTTTTTAAAATAATTCAACTTTTTTTTGTATTCAAATAAATTATTTCCGAGTTTTCCGGATAATTTTTCATTAAATCGCTATTTTTCCTGGCAATTCTCTTTTTCTAATGCAAAATTTTTGTGTTTCTCATAAAATTTGTGTTTTTTTAAAAATAATTCAACTTTTTTTTGTATTCAAATAAATTATTTCCGAGTTTTCCGGACAATTTTTCATTAAATCGCTATTTTTCCGGGCAATTTTCGTTTCTTAATGCAAATTCTTGCCTTTCTCATAAAATTTGTGTGTTTCTTTTTAAATGATCCAAATTTTTTTTGTATTTAAATAAATTATTTCCGGAGTTTTCCGGACAATTTTCGTTTTCTTTAAGCAGATTCTTGTCACTCTCATAAAATTTCTTTCTTTTTAAATAATCCACCTTTTTTGGTATTAAAATAAAATATATCCGGGTTTTTCCTTTTTTTTTCAACTAAATACACTTTTTCAAAATCAAATAAAAATTTTTCTCCTTAAATCACTATTTTTCCGGGCAATTCTCATTTTTTAATGTAAATTCTTGCCTTTCTCATAAACTTCGTGTTATTTTTAAATAATCCAACATTTTTTCATATAGTAAATCAAATATTTCCAAGTTTTTCCGTTTTATTCCAATTAAAATCATTTTTTTTCCAAACAAAATCAAAAATTTTTCATATCAAATCGCATTTTTCTTTAATCTAAAGTATTTATTTATTTTTTTAAAATAAGTAATATTTTATTTGCAAATTTCACCTCTTTTTTTCTATTTCTATTGCGTCATGTCACAAAAAAACGGCAAATACTAAATTACAAAAAAAAATCTAAAATTTCTCATTCACAAATGATTTTGTTTTTTTTGTTCCCCTTGAAATTGAGAGCTAGAAGCAGTTCGATCACCTTTTACGTATTACTGAAAGAATCTGCGCGAGTCAAAGTGAGAGGTGTCACATATTTTATATATATATATATATATATTTAAAAGTGGAATTTTTATCCATTTTAAACGAGACTATAATTTTTACGCAAACGAAAGAAAATTCCTTTACTTTTTTTTCTTTTTACACAAAAATAAAAATTTCCACTTAAAAAAGAAATTGACAAAATTTTTTCATAAATATTATTAATTATTTAATATATTGAAAATATAAATAGCTCATAGTATATATATATATATAGGGGGTTATTAAGAAAAAAAAAATGCCTACTCTTTAGACTTGCATTCTGACCGAATAAATATATATAAAAATTTTTCTGTTTGTCTGTGTGTGATTCTTTCACTTTCAATATTATGAGTCCATATGTATAGGAGAAGCGGGTAATTGAGCTACAATTGGACATGGCCTTAAAGGTGTACACTGTACTCTCCTATCTTTTATTCAAGCAAATCGACCTTGTCCGACATTTTTCTTTAGTTTTTTTTTTTTTTTTTTTTTTTTTTTTTTTTTTTTTTATATATTTCATTTCGTTTTGTTATTGACTGTGTCAGTCACGAATCACATTTCTTAAAGTGTAATAGCTGCTGTTATTGCCATTATCACAACATAAATCTGAATTAATGTTTGTACAACGACTCGCACCAGGAAGTTAAATTGTGAATAATATTCACTTGAGAAGCATTTTATTTATTATTTGCTACTTTATTTTTCATTTTGACTGATGAGAGAAAAGGGGTAGGGGAGGAGGCACTTAAAATTTTTTTTTTTTCATTTTTTTTTTAATGTTAACCAGTTTCATCCCGTTTGTTTGGTTTTTTCTTTTCAATGTACTTTTTTTTTTTTAAGGGTCACAATAATTTTAGTGACGTATTAGATATCAGTAGTAAAAGTAGGGGAAACCCCTTCACAATTTTTGAATAATTTACCGCAACTTCCCCTCTTGTTTTAAAAAGTATTAGTAAATTAAAATTATTTTTATAATTATAAATTATACAAAAGTAGGATTTGTATTTTATTATTATTTTTTTTTAATTTTTTGAAAAATTATTATACTAATAAATTTATGCTCGTTCGGTAAAGTAGATTTGACAAAGGAGCAATTAAACACTTCTTTTTAAACTCCAATCAATTTTTTTATTTATAAATTATAAAAATAATTTGTATTTTTCCATTATTTTTTTTGACCGTTTTCAAAAATTATTACAATAATTAATTTAGGCTCTGCGGAGAAAGTAGATTTAATAAACGAGGCAATAAACTTTTATTTTTAAACGCAAATTCAAAAGAAAAAAGTTTGAGCGTCTAAAATTTAAATTAAAAAAAATTTTACCTCTGTCGGTAAGGTAGATTTAATTAAATTTTTTAATTTTTCATCGAATTCGAAACTTTTTTTAGGCAAAATAACGGGTTTTTCCGGGAAAAATCGAGTTTTCTCTTGGAAATTAAGTTTTTATTGTCAAATTTGTGATTAAATTAATTTTTTTTCCTTGTATTTACGTGATTTTTCCGGGCAATTTTTATTTTTTTTTTTTTCGGAAAATTTTTTGATGATTTATAGTTTAATTTGTATTAAACTCATCTCTTAAGTTAGATTTATAATTTTCTGTTTGCAAATCAAAAAAATTTTCTGGGCAAAATGTCTGCTTTCCGGGCAATTTACAGTTTTTTTTTTTTCTTACTTCTTAAACAATTACATTTTTATTAGTATTTAATTAATTGCTTTTTATATATTGATTTATTTTTTTTTGGAAAACTTTGATTTTCTTGAATTAAAATACAATTTTTCCGGGTTTTTCCAGTCAATTTTCAAATTCTCGACAAAATATTCGATTAAATAGTAAACTTTTTGGAGCATTACTTTATTATTCATATTAAATTCGTCGTTTTCATTAAATTTGGACTTTTTCCATGTTTAAATACAATTTTTCCTAATTTTTCCGGGCAATTCTCATTTTGCCGACAAAATTTTCGACTAAATAGTAGACTTTATGAATTATTAGGTTATTATTCTTATGAAATTGATCGATATTGTCAAATTTTTATATTCGCGTGTTGAAATAAAATAGTTTTCCGGGTAGTTATGAGGTTTTCCGGGCAATTTTCTATTTCTTGACAAAATATTCGATTAAATTGTGGACTTTTTCGATTATTACGCTATTATACTTATTAAATTTATTGTTTTTGTAAAATTTTTTTTATTTTTGCCTGTTCCGTGGTTTTCCGGGAAAATCGCCATTTCTAGATAAAATTTTCGATGAAATAGTGGACTTTTTGGATCATTACGTTATTATTGTTATTAAATTACGATTATTTTCGTCGAATTTTGATTTTTCATATTCCAAATACAGTTTTTCCGGGCAATTCACAATGTTTCGAAAATTTTTTAATTAAATACTCGATTATTTAGGATCATTACGCTATTATTCTTATTAAATTAATAGTTTTCGTTCAATTTTAATTTTCCTGTGTTCAAATACAATTGTTTCGGGTAATTCATGGTTTTTCCGGGCAATTCGCAATATCTAGAACAAATTTTCAATGAAAAAGTCGATTTTTTGGATCATTTTACTTTTATTATTATTAAATCGATCGTTTTTGTTGAATTTTTTTTATTTTTCCTATGTTAAAATACCATTTTTCCGGGCAATTCACAATGTTTCGAAAAATTTTCAATCAATTAGTGAAATTTTTGGTATCATTACGATATTATTCTTATTATATTGATAGTTTTCGTCCAATTTTGTATTTTTTCGTGTACAAATAAAAGTGTTTCGGATAATTCTGGGTTTTTCCGGGCAATTCACAATGTTTCGAAAAATTTTCAATCAATTAGTGAAATTTTTGGTATCATTACGATATTATTCTTATTAAATTAATAGTTTTCGTCCAATTTTGTATTTTCTCGTGTACAAATAAAAGTGTTTCGGATAATTCCGAGTTTTTCCGGACAATTCGCTATTTCTAGATAAATTTTCCAATTTTTTTTCGAGTAAATAATTGTTTCTTTCCTCAAAAAGAGGAAATTTTGTCCTATAAATTGATGTTATTTGCGTTTTAATCATTTTTGTGGAGTAAAAAAACACTTTTTCGGGTAAATTTCTTTTTTTTCGGGTTAAAATCAGAATTTTTTTCACTCACTACGGGTTTTTCCGGGCAATTTTCGGGTTTTTTTTTTTTTTTTGTTTTTTGGTGTATAAAAACAGAAATCTTTTTTTTTCTAAAATAAAAATTAAATTCTTATTTTAAAGGAAAAATCAATTTTCACCGAAAAAATTTAGTTCTCTTTTTTTATCAACTCACATATTTTTGATAATAGATTTCCACTTACAATGAGGCGCTAATTAATCAAATTGTCGTTTATCGCAGACAATGATCATCATCATCATCATCATCATCTTGTCTTATCTCAACCCCTCATTGTGTTGCGCTTTTAAACCTATAGGGCAAGAAAAATGAATCAGTGTGTAATAAGCGAGTTGTGTTGTCGAATGCCGTGTTGGGTTATACTATATAAACAATACTTCGTACAAAGTGAGAACAGTTTGCTTACGGCCACCGTATCTGTACTCGATCACTTTTTATTTATGTATGTTGTTACAATGCGTCAACACCTGTGTTTTTCACGCGAATAAGATATATTTAAATTAAAATTTTTCTTTCCGTTTTTGCAAACTTCCCTTATTGTTTGTGAATTTTTGTTTTCTTTAAAAAAAAAATTTTTTTTAATTTTTTGAGAAATAAAAAAAAATTTTTTTTTTCCTTCTTGAGTGTGGAATAAAAAAAAAATGTCACACGATAATCATGGATTTATTGCGAGTTTGGTAAGTTGACAATACTTCATTAAAAAAAAAAAATATAATAATTTTCATTTATCATCCAATCATTAAATGACATAAATCTTTGACATAAGCTTGTAACTAGTAATTGAGTGGAGGCAGCACCTGTAAAATTGTATCCAATCACTTTCTACTTCTAATATTCGCAATAGAATTAAATATATATATATATATATATATAAAATTAAATCTGTCGAAACATTGTTAACTATATAGATATAATAAATACCTTTTTGAGAAAACGTAAACATAAAATAATATTACATTGAAAATACTTAATCTATCTTATCTGAATTGATAAAAATAAAAAAATGTACATGTAAAAGAATTGATTGCAGTGATAGATCTTTGTTAAGTGATCAGCAATCGTCTATAGGAATTTTACAGAATCCTCGTCATTTTTTTTTCTTGAGATTGCAATATATACCTATACACATATATAATATCGGGAGAGAAAGAAATTTTATTTTCTACAATTTTTTTTTTACTATTTTTTTTTTTTTTTTAATTATTTTTTTATTTTTCTTTTTGAATTTTTAAAATTTATTTTTATTCATTTTTTAAATTAATTATTAATGTTTTTGGCTAAAAATACTTTCATTTAAATCAAAATTTATTATTCGATTAATTTAGATTTAAAAAAAAAAAAAAAAAAATTTCCGCGTTTTTCCGGGCAATTCTCAACTTTTTTTTAACGAATTTTTCAAAAATATTTCAATTACATAAATACATAAATACATATATACATATAATATCAGAAGAGAAAGAAATTTTATTTTAAACAATTTAAAAAAAAAAAATTAAATTATTTTTTAATTTAATTTTTTTTTTATATTTCGTTTGAATTTTAAAAATTTATTTTTATGTGTTTTAATTAATTAACGGTGTTTTTTTAGCAAAAAATACTTTCATTTAAATCAAAATTTATTACTAGATTATTTTAGATTAAATTTAAAAAAAAAATTTCCGAGTTTTTCCGGGCAATTCTCAATTTTTTTTTTTTTTTTTTTTGCGATATTTCAAAAACTTTCGAATGCATAGTATCTAAATACACATATTGTAACGGGAGAGAAATAAGATTTATTTTAAACTATTTTTTCATTTTTTTTTTTATTTTTTTATTTTTTTTGAATTTTTAAAATGTATTTCTATTCATTTTAATGCGATTTTCGGCTGAAAATGCTTTCATTTTTATCAAAATTAATTACACGATTATATTAGATTCAATTAAAAAAAATTTTCCGAGATTTTCCAGGCAATTCTCAATTCTTTTCAGGTGAATTTTCAAAAATTTTCGAATACATAATACATAAATACACATATAATATTGGGAGAGAAAAAAATTTTATTAAAAAAAATTTATTTTAAAAATTTTTTTACTATTTTTTTAATAAAAAATTTTTTTTTTTGTTTTGAATTTCTAAAATTTATTTTTATTCATTTTAATTAATTAATGGGGTTTTTGGCTAACAGTGCTTTCATTTGTATCAAAAATTAACCACTCGATTTTTTGAGATTTTCAAAAAAAATTTCCGGGTTTTTCCGGGCAATTTTCGATTTCTTTATCAAATTTTCAAACAAAAAAAAAAAAAATTTCAAATACATTTGTTTTTTATTTTTCAAGAAGAAAATTCTTTCCTTGGTTTTTTTTTATTTTCCTTTCTTTAAAATTTTTGTTGTCCTTTTTTAGTTTTTCTTCATTTTTTGGCGCTTTTTTCCATTTTTTTTTTCAATTTGTTATTTTCCCACACACACACATATATATATATAATTATTATCTTGAAAAAATACAATATCTCGATAAAACAAATGAAGATGATGATAATCGTAAAAAATTTATATATATGTTTATATAAATATGTTTACAAAAGTTATTTAATATTTGACGACTTTATTAATCTGTTATAGGAAAAAAACTGGGTTTAAAATAAAAGTGCAAAAAAAAAGTAGAAGATTGATTTTATATCTTTACAACATAAACACAAACACATACGCACATGCACACGAGACAAATGAATATAAATTGATTTATAAATTATAAATTAACAAAAACAAGATTTTTTTTTGTTTTTTTTTTTTTTATAAAAAGAACTTTTATAATTTTTCCTCAATTTTTCATCAATTATTTCGATTCCTATCGGTTCTTTATATTTATTATTTTATTTATTCAATATTTATTATCGTTTTCCTCAATTTCTGTCATTTTCTGCAATTTTCATCAAGTTTTATCAACTTTCATCAATTTTCTTCAAATTTTCATCAATTTTCTTCAATTTTCATCAATTATCTCGATTCTATTATTTTTTTATTTTCATTATTTTATTAATTAAATACATTTTTTATCTTTTTCTTCAATTTTTGTTATTTTCTTCAGTTTTCATCAACTTTCATCAATTTTCATAAATATTTTTTTTGTTTTTTTTTTATAAAAAGAACTTTTATAATTTTTCCTCAATTTTTCATCAATTATTTCGATTCCTATCGGTTCTTTATATTTATTATTTTATTTATTTAATATTTATTATCGTTTTCCTCAATTTCTGTCATTTTCTGCAATTTTCATCAAGTTTTATCAACTTTCATCAATTTTCTTCAATTTTTCATCAATTTTCTTCAATTTTCATCAATTTTCATCAATTATCTCGATTCTATTATTTTTTTATTTTCATTATTTTATTAATTAAATACATTTTTTATCATTTTCTTCAATTTTTATTATTTTTTTCAGTTTTCATCAACTTTCATCAATTTTCATAAATATTCATCAATAATCTTGATCCTATCAATTTTTACTATTTTTATTACAGTATTATTCCTATTTATCACTCTCGTAAATTTACATGATTTTTAATCATTTTTTTTTATCAAATTATTATCAGTGATCATCAATATTAAATTCTAATTAATGTCAAATTCTAGGTATCGTTGTAATAATTTTTATTATTTCAATTCAAATAGTCATTTTATTATTCTCGTGAATTTCTGGCATTTTTTTTTATCATTTTCATCAATTTTCATTAATTTTCATCAATTTTCATCAATTTTCATCAATTTTCATCAATTTTTATCAATTTTCATCAATTTTCTTCAATTTTTATTAGTTTTCATCAATTTTCTCCAATTATCATCAATTTTCATTAGTTTTCTTCAACTTTTATCAGTTTTCATCAATTTTCTTCAATTTTTATTAGTTTTTCATCATTTTTCTTCAATTCCTATCAGTTTTTTTTATCAGTTTTCTTCAATTTTCGTTAGTTTGTTTTATTCTTTATCGGCTTTTATTTATTTTTATCAGTTTTCAAGAATTTTCTTCAAGTATCATCAGTTTTCATCAATTTTCATCAATTTTTATTAGTTTTCATCAATTTTCTCCAATTATCATCAATTTTCATTAGTTTTCTTCAACTTTTATCAGTTTTTATCAATTTTCTTCAATTTTTATTAGTTTTTCATCATTTTTCTTCAATTTTCTTCAATTCCTATGTTTTTTAATCAGTTTTCTTCAATTTTCGTTAGATTGAGTCATTCTTTATCGACTTTTATTTATTTTTATCAGTTATCAAGAATTTTCTCCAAGTATCATCAGTTTTCATCAATTTTCTTCAATTTTTATTCATTTTCATCAATTTTTATAATTTTTTTTATCAGTGTCTCATTATTTGTTATTATATGTCTAATAACAATTCTCTGATTACAATTATGGAAAGTGTTAGACTCATTATATAATAATAAAATAGCGACATTTATTAAAATAAAAAAAAAATTCTATTTCCTTTAATTTTTAGAAATTAAAAAAAAAATTTAATAAATAAATAAAAATATATAAAAATTCATATTTATTTTGATTTATATATTTTTTTTTGTTCTTGAATATTGTTTTCTTAATTTTGTTTTAATTAATTTTTTTCGGTTTATTAATATAAAAAATAATTATATAGTATAAAAAAATATATTTTAACAATATTGAAAAAAATGTGATACATCCGTTTTGTAAAGGAAAATTTTTTTTTTTTAGTTCCTCTTTCCTTATATATATTTAATTTATTATTGTATATACATTGAATATTAATTAACTTCCATTTATTTATTTTTTTCTAGTATTTCCTTCTTTTACGCATCACTTTATCATTATTTGAAGTAAATTGAAAGTTGAAAACAATTTTTTTAAAACATTTTGAAAAAAAAATTTTGTTTTTATAATTTTTCCTTTTTTAAATAAATAAATAAGTAAGTAAATAAGTAAATAAATCAGTAAATAAATAAATAAACAATTAAATAAGTAATTAAATTAATAAATAAATAAATAATATTGAAATTTTTAATTTATTTACAAAATTTTTAAAAATTAATTAATAACAATTAAAATAAATAAATACGAAAAAGTAATTATGGACTTGATTTGTTAAAGCATGATTCAAAAAAAAAAATACAATATTGCCTTCCGATTTACGTTACAAATATAGTCGTTATCAATGTTAATTTTTTTTCTATTATTACTTGGTAGCAAGGCTTTATTTTTTCACTCTTAATTAGATGAAGGTTTTTTTTCACCTACTACATTTTCACTTGTCTTAGTTGTTTTCCGTTATTTTTCATTATATTTGTTAAAAAATTTTTATTGGTAAATTTTTTTTTTTTAAATGTGAGTTTCCCATCTGTGTTCTGTCGGTAAAGTAGATGTAGATGGCGTAAATATTTTAAAAAAATATAATGAAAAATAAATAACAATTTTTTATTTAACATTTTTTTGCATTCGATATCTACTTTACCGACAGTAGGTAAATTAAAAAAACCATTTAATAAATAAATAATTGAATAAAAATAAAATAAAAAAAAAAATACAAATTTTTTATTAAACATTTTTTTTTTGCATTCAATATCTACTTTATCGACACAACATAGATGGGAAACTCAGTATAAAAAATTTTTTCCATATTACTTCTTGTATTATAAATACATGTAGTACTATATAAAATTGTGTTATCCTTGAAAAAAAAACCAGTTTTATAAATTACAGTAATGTATTAATCTGACGTCATTGATAAATGATATTTAGTGAGTTTCTATTAAATACATGTTAATTATTTTACAATTTTTTTTTTATTATTATCATTAAATTTTAAAAAAATGATCTAAATTGGAAAAACCGTTATTGTTAATTTTACTATTAGTCATAAGAAAAAACCAAAAATATTCTATTGTCATCAATAATGATTAAAAAGTAGGTTTATAAATACAAATTAATAATTCACAAAAAATTGAAATCATTAAAATGATGATTAGTGTTGTTCAAAATTAAATCGTTGACATATCATTAAAATCAATTATATATTTATATTATAATATATAATTGTAAACAACATTAAATTCATTGACATTATTAAAAAAAAAATCATCAAAATGACAATTAATAATAGTAGAAATTATATTCAATTAAAAATCATTGAAATTATTAAGTATGATGATTATATTTAGTAATTAAATTATAAACATCACTAAATACTATGTATAAATTATTATAATAATCATGAACATTATTAAAAATCATCTGTATTAGTAAATCATTAAAATCAATAAAAATCATTAAAAATGATTAAAAATCATTAAAAATCATTAAAAATCATTAAAAATCATTAAAAATCAGTAAAATCAGTAAAATCAGTAAAAATCATTAAAAAGAATTAAAAATCAGTAAAATCAGTAAAAATCATTAAAAATAATTAAAAATCAGTAAAATCAGTAAAAATCATTAATATCATTAAAATCATTAAAATCATTAAAATCATTAAAATCATTAAAATCATTAAATTCAGTAAAATCAGTAAAATCATTAATATCATTAAAATCATTAAAATCATTAAAATCATTAAATTTAGTAAAATCAGTAAAATCAGTAAAATCAGTAAAATCATTAAAATCATTAAAATCATTAAATTCAGTAAAATCAGTAAAATCAGTAAAATCATTAATATCATTAAAATAATTAAAATCATTAAAATCATTAAAATCATTAAAATCATTAAAATCATTAAATTCAGTAAAATCAGTAAAATCAGTAAAATCATTTCCAAAAATTTTATGAAAAAAAGGTATTAAAACGAAAAAAAAAGATTTTATATGATTTTTTTTCAGAATCATTCAAATTAATGGATTAACTTGTCGGGAAAATAATTGACATCATTATTGATAAAAAATAATACTAAAGTCGTTAAATATATCAAAATATTAATATGTCAATATATATATATATATAATATGACATTATAAGGTCAATAAAATCTTCAAGATATTAAATTGTCCTATTAATTTTCTTTTTATTCGAAATGATACATATCAATCAAATAAATGATTAAAATCAATATATAATAATGTATATTTAAAAAAATAAATAATAATTATAAAAATGATAGAAAATAATAATAAATTATTAATTAATTAATAACAATAATCAAAAAAAAAATCATTATCATTGGAGAAAAAGTGGGGGTAAGGGGGTAAATAGTATTTAAAAAAAAAATTAATAAAAATCATTAAAAATAAATGAACCATTTTTTTTGTTTTAATTATAAACGCTACTATTGACTTTTAAGTGAAAGTGAATCATGTCCCCCCAAGTCATTAAAATCACTGACATCATTCTAACACAATGTGAATAATTATCATCAACTTTATTAAATATCAGTTACCTGTATATACCTAAAATAATTTTTTCATTATCAATCAATTATTATTTTATTATTATTATTATTATTATTATTATTATTTTTACTATTATTATTATTATTATTATAATTATTATTATTATTTCATATTACTATTATTAATGAAACAATTAAATTTATTAATTTTTATTATTTATTTATAAAATTTTTATTTATATTCATTTTTTTAAAATAATTTCTCTAAATTAAATGTAAAAAAAAAATTACTAAAATTAATGTAGAAAAAAATTTTTTTTTTCCTGGAACAGCGAAATGTTTAACTGTATTAGCAAAAGTTTTCATTGTTTCAGTTAAATCTTTCGCTATTCCAGTGAAACCTTTCGCTGTTTCAGGTATAAATTTTTGTTTTTTTTAATTAAAACCAAAATTAATAAAAATTACAAAAAAATAAATTAAAAATTACAAAATAAACAAATAAATTATTTAATTAAATATTTTATTTATTATATATATTTTTATTAAAAAATAAATAAATATTTATTTATTGGAAAATTTTTTTAATTTTTGAATGTTAAAAATTTTTATTTAGTAAAAAAAATAATTATGTATTATTAAATGGTAATGGCATTGTACCCTTCACCTTCTCATGTAATAGTAAAGCAAAATTTCATTAGAAACTCCTTTTATATAAAAATCCTTCATGGTTGGAGGCTTGACCTTATCCAGTTACTTGCAGCATTATATTTGTAAATTAACATTATATGTATATACATACATTTATATATATATATATATATATATATATAAAATCATATATATGCAGCACTCGCTCTATTAAAAACTCTATACGTATATGCACTATATAAATATTTCTCATGGCTAAATAAATATGCAAAAAAAAAAAAATAATTTTTACCTGTCGCTTATGATTAAAGAGAATTGAAATATGTTTTTAAAATTGATTTCATTTTTATAAAAAAAAAAAAATTTATAATATAGTTATTTTTTTCAATACTCAAAAATATCATACAATTTTTCCTACATTTCCTGCAAGGATTTCTATAAAAAATAGTTCCTACATTACCTACAGCGTTTCCTACAAGTTTTCCTACAATTTTTCCTACATTACCTACAATTTCTCCTACATTACCTACAGGGTTTCCTACATTACCTACAGGGTACCCTACATTACCTACAATGGTTCCTACAATTGTCCCTACCTTACCAATCAGTGTTCCTACAAAACCTAAAATTGCATCTACGTTACCTACAGGGTTTCCTATAATTGTTCCTACAATTTTTCCTACATTACCTACAGGGTTTCCTACATTACCTAAAACGGTTCCTACAATTATTCCTACCTTATCTAAAGGATTTCCAACAATTTTTCCTACATTACCTGCAGAAATTTCTACAATTTTTCCTACATTACCTACAGGGTTTCCTACATTACCTAAAACGGTTCCTACAATTATTCCTACCTTACCTAAAGGATTTCCAACAATTTTTCCTACATTACCTACAGGGTTTTTCTACATTACCTACAATGGTTCCTACAATTGTTCCTACCTTACCTATAGGATTTCCTACAATTTTTCCTATATTATCAACAATTGTTCCTACAATTGCTCCTACCTTACCTACAGTATTTTTTACAATTTATCCTACATTACCTACAGGGTTTTTCTACATTACCTACATTGGTTCCTACCTTATCTACAGTATTTCCTACAATTTTTTCTACATTACCTACAATTGTTCCTACATTACCTACAATTGTTTCTATACAACCTACAGTTTTCTACAATTGTTCCCACGTTACGTATAATTCTTCCTACATTATCTACAGGGTTTCGTACAATGGTTCCAACATTTCCCATCCAGGTTTCCTACAATTGTTCTTACATTTTTTCTACTAGGTTTCCTATAATGGTTTTTCATAATTTCTCACCAATTTTCTACCATTTTCCTACTAAGTTTCCTACAATGGTTCCCACAATTAATTCCAAAAATTGTATGGATATTCGTTGCCAAAAAAAAAATATTTTATAGTAAATTTTTTTTTAATTTATGAGTAAAGATAAAAAAATTTGTTAATGCGGAATAATGAATATTTAGTAACTGGAGATAATAAAAAATGAAAATAATTGAATCATACATTTTTTTGTACAATAAATATGTAATTTATTAAATTATAAAATTTCACATTCCAAATAATGAATATTGTTCTTTTTTTGAGTAATGCATGAGAAAATATTTTTGATGACTAATATATATCTATGTTTATATATATATAAAATATTTCAGTCTTTTTTTTTAATCAAGAGAATAAATTATCACAATAGCATGTTACAAAGAAATAATAGTCATTCATATTTTTTTTATCATTATCGATAGAGATATGTTTAGTTAAAAATTCATATTTGTGTGAATAAATATAAAAATAGTATTATTTTGAAAAAAAAAGTATTGAAAAAAGTTCAGACAAATATAATAATTCGATTTTTAATTTTTTTTTCTCAAAAAATAATAAAATTAACAAAAAAATTAGATTAATTAATTATTGTATAATTAATGGTAAATAATAATTCTTTTTTAAAAATTATATAACAATTATTTTTTATTGTAAGTGAATATATTTTTCTGCGTAATTATATATGAGTAATAATAAAATATAAAAATATGAAAAATAAGTGAAATAATAAAATAATAAAAAAATATTATAAAAAATAGAGAATAGAAAATAATAAAATTAAATTTAAAAAATTTTCTTTTGTTTACAGGATAATCTCGATCAAAAAAAGTCTGTGAAAAATGAGACAAAAAAGTGAGTTTTCAAAAAAAAAAGAAATTCTAAAAAAAAATATAAAAAAAAAATAAATAAATTTTTATGAAAATTTTTTTTTTTTTTTTTAATAAATTATATTAAAATTTTTTACAAAAATTTATTTTTTCTACAGAAAATTATCAAAAGATGAGAGAAGTAATATTTATACTGTCGAACTACAGGATAAAAAAAGTTATGTTCAAGAATTAGAAGACGATTATGAACCATATAATCATCGAGAAGTTGATCATCCCACCACGTAAGTTGTTTATATAATTAACACAGCACTATAAATTTTTAGCGTTTATTAGACACGTGCTCAAGGTAAAAAAAATCATCACGATTTATTGTTTTGTGCTCTTCATCAATTAACGCATTCATACACACAAAGATAAATACGATAATGAAAAAAAAGTTTATTTAAAATAATTTTTTCTATTTTTATTTTTATTTTGATAATTTTTTTTTGTAATTTAATTTAATTTTTTAATTTAATTTTATAATATTAATTTTTAAATTTAAATTCAAAAAATAATTTTTAATGTACTTTTTAATTGGTTCCTACATTATTTCCTACAATTCCCATATATATATATCCTACATTATTTCCTACATTAGTTTTTATAATTTATTAATTTTGTATTTTTTAAAATATTTTTTTTTTGAGAATTATTTTGAAATTTCCGGTTCCTACATTATTTCCTACAACTCCCATATATCCTACAATATTTCCTACAGTAGTTTTTGAAAAATTGTTTGATTGGCTATTTTTTAAAATAATGTTATCTTTCGAGAACTATTTTAAATTCCTGGTTCCTACATTAGTTCCTACATTAGTTCCTACATTAGTTCCTACATTAGTTCCTACATTAGTTCCTACATTAGTTCCTACATTAGTTCCTACATTAGTTTCTACATTAGTTCCTACATTAGTTCCTACATTAGTTCCTACATTAGTTCCTACATTAGTTCCTACATTAGTTCCTACATTAGTTCCTACATTAGTTCCTACATTAGTTCCTACATTAGTTCCTACATTAGTTCCTACATTAGTTCCTACATTAGTTCCTACATTAGTTCCTACATTAGTTCCTACATTAGTTCCTACATTAGTTCCTACATTAGTTCCTACATTAGTTCCTACATTAGTTCCTACATTAGTTCCTACATTAGTTCCTACAACAGTTCCTACACAAATTTGCACTTTAAACTTTTCAATATTTTCTTAAAATTTTCTAAATTAGTTCCTAAATTTTACTATCATTATTATTATTTTAAAAAATTATTATTATTATTGCTTCCTCGTAGGAAGCTTTATTATTATTATTATATTTTATATTTATTATTCATCATTAATATAAAACAAACCTTTTGTAACTGTCCGTTACTTTTTTTGATATCCTTTTCCGCGAGCATCTGAAACAAAAAAAGAAACAATTGTTATTATTATTATTAATATTGTCTCCTACAATGGTTCCTACAAATAAGTTAATGAATTTTTTTTTTCATTTCAGATTTTGGGAGACGCTTCTTCATCTTCTAAAGGGAAGTTTGGGAACTGGAATTTTGGCAATGCCAAAAGCATTTTCCCACGCTGGTTATGCAGTTGGTGCTGTGGGAACAATTGTTATTGGATTTCTATGTACATATTGTATACATTTATTAATAAAATCAGAATATATACTTTGTAAGAGAAGAAAAATTCCATCACTCACCTATCCATTAACTGCCATTGAGGCATTGAATGATGGACCTAAATTTTTGAGGCCTTGTTCTAAATATGCTGGGTAAATTAGAAAAAATATTTTTACTAAAAAAATTAAGAAAATTTAAAAAAAAAAGAAAATTTTATAAAAATAATTTCTTTTTCCAGACATGTGATAAATACATTTTTACTCATTTATCAACTTGGTACATGCTGCGTTTATACAGTTTTCATTGCAACCAATATAAAACTTGTAAGTTTATTTTTTATTTACTCCAACATTGTTTACCACCAAAAAAAAGAAAAAAGTTTATTCTTTTCTTATGTGCCATTCACATTATGCTTTGGTTTTTTGTAAATTATGTTCTAAATTTTGAATTTTTTTTACTGCATTGGTCCCTACATTTTTCATATATTTTTCCTACATTTGTTTCTATATTGGTTCCTACATTGATTTATATAACGCTTTCACATGGGTTTTAATTCAAGCTTCAAAACTTAAAATATTGGTGCCTACAGTGGCTCCTACACTTTTCTAAGATTCCTACTGGTTTCTAAATATTTTCCTACTAAGTTTCCTACCGTTTTTGCCACTTTTCCTACTAAGTTTCCTACAGTAGCTCCTATACTTTTAGTAACAAGTTTCCTATAGTATTTCCTACACTTTTCCTACTAAGTTTCCTACATTTTTTGCTACTTTTCCTACTAAGTTTCCTACAGTAGTTCCTACACTCTACATACTAAGTTTTTTTTCAGTGATTCCTACACTTTTAGTACCAAGTTTCCTACAGTGGTTTCTACACTTTTCCTACTTAATTTCCTACAGTGATTTCTATATTTTCCTACTGTTTCCTACAGTGGTTTCTAAATATTTTCCTACTAAGTTTCCTACAGTTTTTGCCACTTTTCCTTCTAAGTTTCCTTCAGTAGTTCCTACACCTTTCCTACATTTTCCTAGTAAGTTTCCTACATTTTTCCAACTAAGTTTCCTACAGTGATTTTTATATTTTTCTACTGTTTCCTACAGTGGTTCCTACACTTTTCCTTCTAAGTTCTCTACAGTGATTTCTATATTTTCCTACTGTTTCCTACAGTGGTTCCTACACTTTTCCTACTAAATTTCTTACATTGTTTCCAACTTTAATTTATTTTACGCTTTTACATGATTTAAATTGAAGCTTCAAAACTTAAAACTTTGGCTCCTACATTGTTTCCTACACTAGTTCCTACATTTGTTCCCATCTGACTGCCCACACATGTTTCCTACAGTAATTTTCCCATTCAATTTTTTTTGAAGTGTCTTTCAATTTTTTTTCGTATTTAAAAGGCTTTCCTCTATTAACTGCAAATGTTCCTACTAACTGTTCCCACCTAAAGTGGAATGAAAATAAATATAATTATTTTTTTCTTCTTTCTTTACAGGCATTAGATTCGTTTATGCATGAAAAAATTGACTTGACTTATTATATGTTGGCTCTTCTTTTACCATTGATATTCATCAATTGGATAAAAAATTTGAAATCATTGGCACCACTATCAACGATTGCCAACGTAATAACTCTTGCCAGTTTTGGAATAATATTGTATTACTTGTTCAGAGTGACACCAACATTTGAAGGAAAGGATCCAATTGGAAAAGTTGAAGATTTCCCACTATTCTTTGGCACAGTACTTTTTGCATTGGAGGCAATTGGAGTGGTAAGAAAATAAATGATATCCTACAAATAATTTTGCATTATATCCTAAAGTGTTTTCTACAATTATCCTACATTGTATCCTACAATTATCTTAGAATTATCCTACAATGTATCCTACAATTATCTTAGAATTATCCTACATTATATCGTACATTGTATGGGAAAATTGTAGGATAATTATCCTACATTGTATAATAAAATTGTAGGATAATTATCCTACATTGTATGGGAAAATTGTAGGATAATTGTAGGATAATTATTCTACATTGTATCCTATAATTATCTTAGAATTATCCTACATTTTATCCTACATTTTATAGGACAATTGTAGGATAATTATCCTACATTGTATCCTACAATTATCTTAGAATTATCCTACATTGTATCCTACATTGTATAGGAAAATTCTAATATAATTATCCTACATTATATGGGAAAATTGTAGGATCATTGTAGGATAATTTTCCTACATTATATAGGATAGAATGTAGGATACATTGTAGGGTAATTATCTTACAATGTTTCCTACATTGTAGAATATATCCCACATTGTTTTCACCTAGTATCCTACAATGTAATCCTATAATTATCTTAGAATTATCCTGCATTGTATCCTACATTATATAAGACAATTGTAGGATAATTATCCTATATTGTATGGGAAAATTGTAGGATAATTATCCTACATTATATCGTACATTGTATGGGGAAATTATAGGATAATTATCCTACATTGTATAAAAAAATTGTAGGATAATTATCCTACATTGTATGGGAAAATTGTAGGATAATTGTAGGATAATTATCTTACATTGTATCCCACATTGTATGGGGAAATTGTAGGATAATTATTCTACATTGTATGGGAAAATTGTAGGATAATTATCCTACATTGTATCCTACAATTATCTTAGAATTATCCTACATTGTATCCTACAATTATCATAGAATTATCCTACATTGTATCCTACAATTATCATAGAATTATCCTACATTGTATCCTACATTGTATAGGAAAATTGTAGGATCATTGTAGGATAATTTTCCTACATTATATAGGATAGAATGTAGGATACATTGTAGGGTAATTATCTTACAATGTTTCCTACATTGTAGAATATATCCCACATTTTTTTTACCTAGTATCCTACAATGTAATCCTACAATTACTATATCCCACATTCCACACTATATTGTAGGATACATTATATCCCACATAATTTTTATTGTAATCCTAATTGTATCCTAATTTCTAATTGGTTCCCACATAATTTCCTACATAAATTCTCTCATGAAAATTGATTTTTTTTTGTTGGTAAATTTTTTTTACATTACTGTAAATGAAAAATATTTAAGAAGAAAAAAAAATTTCTTTTTCTTTCCAATAAAGATAATGCCACTGGAGAATGAAATGAAGGAACCAAAAAAATTTGGCAAACCATGCGGTGTATTAAACATTGGAATGTTTAGCATTATTACATTATATATTGGAATGGGATTTTTTGGCTATCTAAGATACGGCAGTGCAGTACAGGGAAGTATAACCTTCAGTATATCGGAGGGCACCGAGGATATTATACCAGCTAAAATTGCACAAATTCTATTGGCAATATCAATATTCTTCACGCATGCACTACAATGTTATGTGGCCATTGATATCTCGTGGAATGAATATATTTTCCCACGTATGTCAAAAAATAGACACACCATTGTTTGGGAGTACGTTCTTAGAACGAGTATCGTTCTTGTCACGTGTAAGTTGAAAAAAAACAGTTAATTTTGAAAAAAAATGTTTATTTAAGTTCTAAAATTTCCACTATTAAGTTTCCTACAGTGGTTCCTAAACTCTTTCTACTAAGTTTCCTACTTAGTTTCCTACACTTTTCCTACATTTTCCTACTTAGTTTCCTACAGTTTTCCTACATTTTCCTACTAAGTTTCCTACAGTTGTTCCTAAACTTTTCCTACTAAGTTTCCTACATAGTTTCCTACAATGGTTCCTGCACTTTTCCTACATTTTCCTTTTAAGTTTCCTACATTTTTCCAACTAAGTTTCTTACAGTGGTTCCCACACTTTTCCTACTAAGGTTCTTACAGTGATTTGTGTATTTTCCTACTGTTTCCTACAGTGGTTTTTAAATATTTTCCTATCAAGTTTCCTACAGTTTTTCCCACACTTTTCTTACTAAATTTCCTCCAGTGGTTCCTACACTTTTAATATTAAGTTTCCTACAGTAGTTCCTACAACTTTCCTACTAATTTTCCTACAGTGGTTTCCAAACTTTTCCTACTAAGTTTCCTACAGTTATTTCTATATTTTCCTACAGGGGTTTCTGTATTTTTCCTACTAAGTTTCCTACAGTGGTTCCCACTTTTCCTATTGTTTCCTACAGTGGTTTCTGTATTTGTTCCTACCAAGTTTCCTACAGTGGTTTCTGTATTTGTTCCTACCAAGTTTCCTACAGTGTTTCCTACACTTTTCCTACTAAGTTTCCTGCAGTAGTTCCTACACTTTTCCTACTAAATTTCCTACAGTTATTTTTATATTTTTCTACAGTCGATTCTGTATTTGTTCCTACCAAGTTTCCTACAGTGGTTTCCACTTTTTCTACAGTGGTTTCTGTATTTGTTCCTACCAAGTTTCCTACAGTGGTTTCTACACTTTTCCTACTAAGTTTCTTGCAGTAGTTCCTACACTTTTCATACTAAGTTTCCTACAGTTTTTTCTATATTTTCCTACAGAGGATTCTGTATTTGTTCGTACTAAGTTTCCTACAGTGGTTTCTGTATTTGTTCCTACCAAGTTTCCTACAGTGTTTCCTACACTTTTCCTACTAAGTTTCCTGCAGTAGTTCCTACACTTTTCCTACTAAATTTCCTACAGTTATTTTTATATTTTTCTACAGTCGATTCTGTATTTGTTCCTACCAAGTTTCCTACAGTGGTTCCCACACTTTTCCTACTAAGGTTCTTACAGTGATTTGTGTATTTTTCTACTGTTTCCTACAGTGGTTTTTAAATATTTTCCTACTAAGTTTCCTACAGTTTTTCCCACACTTTTCTTACTAAATTTCCTCCAGTGGTTCCTACACTTTTAATATTAAGTTTCCTACAGTAGTTCCTACAACTTTCCTACTAATTTTCCTACAGTGGTTTCCAAACTTTTCCTACTAAGTTTCCTACAGTTATTTCTACATTTTCCTACAGGGGTTTCTGTATTTTCCTACTAAGTTTCCTACAGTAGTTCCTACAACTTTCCTACTAATTTTCCTACAGTGGTTTCCAAACTTTTCCTACTAAGTTTCCTACAGTTATTTCTACATTTTCCTACAGGGGTTTCTGTATTTTCCTACTAAGTTTCCTACAGTGGTTCCCACTTTTCCTACTGTTTCCTACAGTGGTTTCTGTATTTGTTCCTACCAAGTTTCCTACAGTGGTTCCTACACTTTTCCTACTAAGTTTCCTGCAGTAGTTCCTACACTTTTCCTACTAATTTTCCTACAGTTATTTCTATATTTTCCTACAGTGGATTCTGTATTTGTTCCTACCAAGTTTCCTACAGTGGTTCCCACTTTTCCTACAGTGGTTTCTGTATTTGTTCCTACCAAGTTTCCTACAGTGGTTCCTACACTTTTTCTACTAAGTTTCCTCCAGTGCTTCCTACATTTTTAATATTATGTTTCCTGCAGTAGTTCCTACACTTTTCCTACTAAGTTTCCTACAATTTTTTCTATATTTTCCTACAGGGGTTTCTGTATTTTTCCTACTAAGTTTCCTACAGTGGTTCCCACTTTTCCTACTGTTTCCTACAGTGGTTCCTGTATTTGTTCCTACCAAGTTTCCTACAGTGGTTCCTACACTTTTTCTACTAAGTTTCCTACCGTGGTTCCCACACGTTTCCTACAGTAGTTTCCCACATATTTTAATCAAATTTTTATTTGTAGGATATTAACCCCCAAAAAAATACAATTTTTTTTTATTTTCCTTTTTTTCAGTTCTTCTTGCCGTGCTGATACCCGAATTGGATCTGTTCATCTCATTGTTTGGTGCATTATGTTTATCGGCCGTTGGTATTGCATTTCCTGCAATTATTCATATTTGTACATTCTGGTCAATATCGACAACAACCGAAAAGGCAATAATGGTCTCAAAAAATATGTCCCTCGTATTATTTGGACTTTTAGGTCTTGTCGTTGGTACTTACACAAGTCTCAGGGATATTATACATAAATTCTCGTGATTTAGTTGTAATGTTCAATTTTTTTTTTTTTTTTTTTTTTTTGAAATTCTAAAAACGTTAAATAATTAATTTCAAAAGAAAAAAAAAGAAGCGAGAGTGTATGTGGCAAAAAAAAATTGCCAAAGTGATTTTTTTTCAAAAATGTGCGTGTATGAGTGTTGAATAGAATAAATAATAGGTAATAATAATAATTATTATTATTATTATGAAAAGTCTGATGAGAAATGCAACAAAAAAAATTAGAAATAAATTTTTTTTTTTTAATCATGAAATTAAAAATGAGATAAAAAAATACAGAAAAAAATTACATGACACTGTGAGTAAAAAAAAAAATGCACAACATTGAAAAAAATAGAAAAATTTACCAAATTGTCAATTTTTTATATAATTTATTTTTTTTTATTGGCTTAAGGATCCTAATTGATTTTTACATTTAATGTTATTTTTTTTCAATTCAATCAAAATATGACAGAATTTCGTTTAGAAAAAAAACGAAAATTAATTAATTATCTAATTAAAAAAAATTTTAATTTAAAAATTAATTAAATTTCATTTAAAGGATAATTAAAAAGAGTTTAATTTTTATGTTTTAGAGAAAGTGCGTTATTTTAATAATATATTGTTTTGTTGTGCAATTTTTAATTTTTGGTTTTCTGTACAATAAAAAAAAAAATGCGATATCACTTTTGTTAACGTACTATTTTACTTTTATGTTCGATAGTATGTGATACTGTACAGTAATTTTAATTATCCATTTTATTATTAATTATTTAATGCATTTTCACGAAGACAGAATTTTTTTTTCTTTATTCTTCACGGAAAAAAAAATTTCGCTAAAATAGCGAAAGATTTAATTGAAACAAGTAAAACTTTTGCTACTATAGCAAAACGTTTCGTTGTTCAATTTTTTTTCCATGTTTCTTTTTTTAGTTTTTTATTTTTAAAATTATTTTTGAAAAAATATTTTTTTAATATAATAATCAACAAAAAAAAAATTTTTGTTTATAAACAAATAAAAAATATTTTTTGTTTAAAAAATAAATTAAAAAAAGGTTTTTTAAACAATTAAAATTAAAAAAAAAATCTATTTTAAAAAATTAAATTTCAAAATAGACAAAGTTTCGTGAAAACTGCTGTTGAAAAATTCTTCGATTAATCTTTTTTTTTTTTTTTTTTTTATTGTAGTGTCTTGTCCTCTTAGATTAAGAATAAAAAAATCCACTAAGTGGATTTTTTTCATATAAATATTATATATTTTGTGTGCTGGTACACACACTGAAATAAAAAAGAGAAAAAAAAGGGGAAAAAACCGTTCAAGAATTTTTTTTTTTTTTGTACAGACTATTGTTTTCTCAACGTTACTTATTAATATTTATTTTAATTAATAAAACACTAATAATATATTATAATTTACTCATTTTTATATAGATCTGTGCTAATTAACAAAAAAAAAAAAAAAAAAAAAAAAAAATAGGTCGCAAATTATTTATTCAAAAATTGTTTAAATAACAATTTTTTTTTCTTTAAATACAAAAAAATTGTTTTCTCGTCGATTTTTTAGAAAAAAAAAACAAAATAAAAATTGTATAAATATTTCAATAAAAAATAATTATTGTTATAAAAAACAATTTTGATAGAAGAAAAATAATTTGTTTTTTTTTTAAAATGTCGGTTTTACACCCCAGTTCACGGTTTAAAAAGATCTTACATTGAAAATAATATTATTCAATTATTAAAATAATAATATTATATTAATATTATTAAATTTTTTTCCATATTTTATTTTTATTATATTCCAAAAAAAAATTTTTTTTTCCAAATTTCTAAATTATCAATGAATGTCTTTTTTTACTGAAATTTTTTCTATACTGACCAATGAACAATCAGAAATAAGATTATTTTTAAGACATTACTTATTTGTTATTATTTTTATTATTATTATTATTATCATCATCATTACTATTATTATCATTATTATTAATATTATTTTATTATTGTACATCAGTAAAATAAAATGATTTTAAACAAATTAATAATTTCTTAATTATTAAAATTATTATTATTATTATTATTATTATTATTATTATTATTGTTATTATTATTATTATCTAATAAAATTACAAAAAAGGTCTTACAGTAAAATTACTATAAAACAAAATTTTAATAAACAATTAAATCTTAAAAATAACAAATTTATGAAATTTGAAAATAAAATTTAGAAAATTTTAAAGTTTTCAAAACAAAAACAAAAACAAAAACAAAAACAAAAACAAAAACAAAAACAAAAACAAAAACAAAAACAAAAACAAAAACAAAAACAAAAACAAAAACAAAAACAAAAACAAAAACAAAAACAAAAACAAAAACAAAAACAAAAACAAAAACAAAAACAAAAACAAAAACAAAAACAAAAACAAAAACAAAAACAAAAACAAAAACAAAAACAAAAACAAAAACAAAAACAAAAACAAAAACAAAAACAAAAACAAAAACAAAAACAAAAACAAAAACAAAAACAAAAACAAAAACAAAAACAAAAACAAAAACAAAAACAAAAACAAAAACAAAAACAAAAACAAAAACAAAAACAAAAATTATTTTACTTTGCATAATTTAATACAACATTCTTAATAATATTTGTACATTCATAAATTTGTTTCTCATTAATAACTAATGGCGGTGCCAATCTAATAATATGATTGTGCGTTGGTTTTGCCAATAAACCATTTTCCTTTAATTGAAGACAAATTTTCCATGCATCATATTTTTCATTAATAACAATTGCATTAAGTAAACCCTTACCGCGTACAATTTCAACAATATTGTTTGGTAATTTTTCCAATTCATTACGCAATAATTTACCACATTTTTCAGCATTCTCAGCAAGATGCTCCTCTTCAAGTACTTTTAACGCTTCAAGGGCAATTTTACAACCCAATGGATTACCACCATATGTTGAACCATGTTCACCAGGACGTATCGACAACATCACTGAATCATCAGCCAATACACCAGAAACTGGATAAAAACCACCTGACAGTGCTTTACCTAATATTAAAATATCTGGTTTCACTGATTCATGATCGACTGCTAAACGTTTACCAGTACGACATAATCCCGTTTGTACTTCGTCGGCAATCCATAAAACATTGTATTTTGTACAGAGTTCACGTACTTTTTTCAAATAACCGTCCTGAAAACAAAAATAAAATTTTTTTTCTGTAGAAAACAAAATTTTTTTTGTTAAAATTTTGTGAAAAAATTTTTTTTTTTGCTGTGAATTTAGCCGATTTTCTATTTTTACGCTGGGAAAAGGTGTGAATTTAGTTGATTGTCTATTTTCACGCCGTGAAATGACGTGAATTTAGTTGATTGTCTATTTTCACGCCGTGAAATGACGTGACTTTAGCCAATTGTCTATTTTCACGCCGTTTAAGGACGTGACTTTAGTCAAATTTATATTTTCAATTTATAAAATGACGTGATTTTAGCCAATTGTCTATTTTGACGCCGTGAAATGACGTGATTTTATTCAAATGTCTATTTTCACGTCGAAATAGAACGTGACTTGATTGAAATTTATATTTTTAATTTGTAAGACAACGTGATTTTAGCCAATTATTTATTTTCACGCCGTGAAATTACGTGATTTTATCCAAATGACTATTTTTACGCTACAAAACGACCTTACTTTTGCTAATTGTCAAGTTTTACGCCGCGGTGCGCCGTTAAAGGGCGTGACTTCAGTCAATTGTCTATTTTGACGCAGTGAATTTAGTCGATTGTCTATTTTCACGCCGTGAAATGACGTGACTTTAGCCAATTGTCTATTTTCACGCCGTTTAAGGACGTGACTTTAGTCAAATTTATATTTTCAATTTATAAAATGACGTGATTTTAGCCAATTGTCTATTTTGACGCCGTGAAATGACGTGATTTTATTCAAATGTCTATTTTCACGTCGAAATAGAACGTGACTTGATTGAAATTTATATTTTTAATTTGTAAGACAACGTGATTTTAGCCAATTATTTATTTTCACGCCGTGAAATTACGTGATTTTATCCAAATGACTATTTTTACGCCACAAAACGACCTTACTTTTGCTAATTGTCAAGTTTTACGCCGCGGCGCTCCGTTAAAGGGCGTGACTTCAGTTAATTGTCTATTTTGACGCAGTGAATTTAGTCGATTGTCTATTTATATGCCGTGACTTTAGCCAAATATCTATTTTCACGTCGTAAAATGCCATGTCTTTAGCCAAATATCTATTTTCACGTCCTAAAATGCCGTGTCTTTGGCCAATTGTCTATTTTCACGTCGTAAGAAGACGTTATTTAAGCCAATTGTTTATTTCAACGCCATAAAAAGACGTGACTTTAGCCAAATATCTATTTTCACGTCGAAACAAAACGATAAGGCGACGTGACTTTAGCCAATTATCTATTTTCAAGCCGTAAAATGACGTGACTTTAGTCGGTTGCCAATTTTCACGCCGTGAAATAACGTGATTTTATCCAAATGTCTATTTTCACGTCGAAAAAGGATGTGAACATAGCCAATTGTCTATTTTCAGGCCGTAACTGCAGTCGATTATCGATTTTCATGCCGTAAATTTGTGTAAATTTAGCCGATTGTCAAGTTTCCCTCTGTTAAATGGCGTGAATTTAGCCGATTCTCTATTTTTACGCCGTAAATTTAGTCGATTGTCTATGTATATGCCGGGATTTTAACTAATTGTCTTGTTTCACGTCGTAATTTTAGCCAATTGTCTATTTTTACGTCATTAAAGAGAGTGTTTTTACCCAAATTTTTATTTTCAACCTACAAGACGACGTGACTTTAGTCAATTTTGTTTATTTTCAAGCCCTAAGATGACGTGACTCAATTCAATTGTTTATTTTCACGTCGTGTGAGAACGGGACAATAGCCATTTATTTTTTTTCACGCCGTGACTTTAGCCAAATATTTATTTTCACGCCGTAAATGCCGTGTCTTTAGCCGATTGTCTATAATCACGTCGTGAGAAGACGTGATTTTAGCCGATTGTCTATTTTAATGCCTTAAAAAAGACGTGACTTTAGCCAAATATCTATTCTCACGCCGTAAATTCCGTGTCTTTAGCCGATTGTCTATTTTCACGTCGTGAGAAGACGTGATTTTAGTCAATTGACTATTTTAACGCCATAAAAAAGACGTGATTTTAGCCAAATATCTATTTTCACGCCATAAAAAAGACGTGAATTTAGCCAGATATCTATTTTCACGCCGTGAAAAGACGTGAATTTAGTCAAATATCTATTTTCACGCCGTGAAAAGACGTGAAATTAGCCGAATGTTTTTTTTTGTTTTTTTTTTTTGGAAACTCACTTTTGGAACAACAACTCCAGCTTCACCTTGAATTGGCTCAACCATAAAGGCACAAACTTTTGGATCCTGTAATACTTTTTCCAATGCCACTAAATCGTCATATGGAATTATTTCGAATCCAGGCATAAATGGACCAAATCCACTGTAACTCGATGGATCTGTACTCGATGATACAGCACTCAATGTTCTACCCCAAAAATTACCTTCGGCAAAAATAATTTTTGCCTGATTTTCAGGTATCCCTTTTTTTGTGTAGCCCCATTTACGTGATAATTTACAAGCAGTCTCACCACCCTCGACACCAGTATTCATTGGTAGCCATTTGTCGTATCTGATTTAAAAAAAGGAAAAAAAAATTAAAATTAGTAGAAAAAAAATAAGACAGTAATTTTAATTTAGTCACATGGCAAATGTTCCTAAACTAATAATCGTTCAGGTTAAGCAACATGCGACACTAATAATTTTGATGGTGAACCAGAAATTTTTTTCTCTCTTTCTCTCTCATTGAGAAAATATGAGCTAAAAATCGTTGAGGTTAAGCAACATGTGACACGTTTAGTAATTTAGATGGTTGATCAAAAAAAAAAAATTACTTTTTTTTTTTTTTTTTTTTTTTTTGGTTTTTACTAACCCAAAGAGTTTGGTGACAAATTCTTCAAATTCACCAAGAACATCGGAATAAAATGCTCGCGATGTTAATGTCAATATTTTTGCCTGTTCAACGAGGACTTTATAAATTCTTGGATGACAATGACCTTGATTTACAGCTGAATATGCACTGAGAAAATCAAAATATCTTTTACCCTCCATATCCCACATAAATACACCTTCAGCACGACATAATGCAACAGGTAATGGATGATAATTATGTGCACCATATTTATCTTCACGTTGAAAAATTTCTTGTGACGTGAATTGACGAATAAAATTTTGTTGCTGTTGTTGTAATTTTTGTTTTGTTGAACAAATCATACGTGTCGATGATTTAACGGCAAAACGAAGAATGTTCTCCATGTTTTTTTTTTCAAAGCTAAAAAAAGAAAAAAAAATTTTTTGTTAAAATTTTACAAAAAAAAAAAAATATTTAAAGAATTTATAATTGAAAAAAAATTTTTTTTTTAATTATTATTAATTTAAAATCGAACTATTTTAATTTAAAAGTAAATTTTTTTTTCTCCATATATCAATAAATATTAATAAAAACTTTTACTGTTGAGAAATATATATATATATTTATATAAAAATTGTCGATAGCAAAATGATTCTGATAATTTATTTTTGATTATATCTTTTGTACACCAAGTTTTACTATAAAGATTATTTTTTTTTTATCTGATTATTGTGTCGTTAACACTTTACGAATAATTTAAAATAAATTAAAACAAATTTTTTTTCTAGAAATTAAAGAAACTAATAAAATGAAATAAAAAAATAATAAATAAATAAATAATAAAAAAATAATAATAAAAAAAATAAAATAATAATAATAATAATTAAATGAACAAAAACTAAACAATGAAAATTTTGCATACATATTCGTTGAATGAAAAATGAAAATATGAATGTAATGTGTTATTATTGTTTAAACATCTTATCACATATTCTCATGATACACTTAATGAAAAATTCACAGAAACAACTGAATAATAAACTGTAGGAATATTACCATTGCCATAACAATTAATTATTTAAATTTTAAAAATAAAAATTTAATAATTTGCTTCAATTAAAGCAATTTTTATATAAATTAATTAAATAATTATTTTAATTAAATTATATTCATATTATTAATAATTATAGATATTAATTAATTTTTAATTCTTAAATAATTAAAAAAAAATTGCTTTTAAAGAAATGGCATTTTTTTTTTATGACAATTTACATGTAAATAAAATAAATAAACGAAAAATTATATATGGAAAAATAAATAATTTATAGAATTATAATAATAATATGAATAATAAAAATAAAAAATATAATAAAAATAGTAATAATAATAATAAATAATTATAATAATAATAATAATAATAATAATAATAATAAATAAAATTAATATATATATGCAAATAAATAAAAAAAAAAAAAATAAATAATAATTTAATAAATAAATATAATAAATAAATTTGTAAATTATAGAATAATAAAATATAAATGTAATAATAAATATATAATTGTAAATAAAAAAAAAATTACTTACATTAAAATCCTTTTAAAAAAATTTTAAATTAACAAAAATTCTTTAGATAATTTATAAATATTGTAATAAAAGATCGTTATTTTGTAGTTAATTATTATTATTATTATCTTCTATTCGTTTCAAACAGAGAAAAAGTGATGAATTTTATTACTAAAACACTCCTTTTATCATGTCTCAATGCTGAATACTGTCGAAAGATTATTTACTTTTGTATATATATATATATGAAAGTTCTTGTGAATGATATTTGATAAGAACATATATAAGTTGAAATCAAATAGGTGGGATAAAAAAAAAAAAATAAAATTCCTCCCTAAATAATAATTATAATTTTTGAAAAAAATTTTTTATCAAAAAAAGTTTTTCTTAACTAAAAAAAAAAAGTTCTAAAATAATTTTCTTTTAAAATTATTTCCATATATTTATTTATAATTTATTTAAAAAATTTTTTAAATTGAAAATAAAAAATTTTTTCCTATACAAATTTTATGGGAAAAAAATTTTTTTTTTTTTTCTTCTATTTTTGTATACTTAAATATTTATTTGGATTCAAATTTTGTCAATAATAATAATAGAAAATGTCCCAAAAATAGTTCTTCTCCCTTTCTTAATGGTGGGGAGGGGGGGGGATTGGAAAAATATTTTAAATCGTTTTTCTTTAAATTTGATATCAAAAATTTATTGAGTCATCAGCCTTAGTCGGTGTATAATCGTTTCGTCTATAGTTTTCCAAAAAAAAACAAACGTGCATTTAAATTACAAAAGGTAAATGAATATTTTAATTTTTAGATTTTGAAAATAAAATTTTTTTTCTCTCTATTTTTTCCAATTAAAAAATAAATAAAACTTTTTATATAATTTTATTATTTATGGAAAAACTATATTGTATTTAATATTTAAATAAAAAATAAAAATTTCATTTATTATATAAATATTTCTTTTTTTATTTCCATAATCAATTATTTATAATTAATAATAATTTTGATTGAATATTTATTATTTTACTGACTGATAAATTTTTTATCTCTATAATTATTAATAATAATTATTATATTTTCTAAACATTTTATTTATTTTTAAAATAATAATTATTATTGTTTAATTAATTTAGTAAAAAAAAATTATTTTCATATTTATATAAAATAATAATAATTTTTGTAATTTTATAATGGACTATTTTGCAAATTATATAAATTTTATAAACACTTAACATGGTTCCAAGGGCATTAACGACTTTCACAATATGTAAATTAAACAAAAATGTAAATATATATAGTTGATAAGTAATATTCAAAAGAATTTGTTTTCTAATTACGAAAATTTGCGTTTTTGATATAATTATAGTTCTTAATTTAATTAAAATTATAATTTAAAAAAGAAATCTAAAAATTTTTCAATTATTTATTATTTCAATTTTACGTTAGACATTTTTTTATTTAATTTTTAGTAACACATTTTTTCAAGTAAAAATAAAAAAAAAATTCTAATTTCAGATTTTGTACAAAAAACAAAAATGTACAAACAAATTTTATTAACAATAACTATTTGCCTATTGGCTGTAAAAAATGGATCAACAATGCCAATGACTGAAGAAATATTGGAAAATATTAATAAATCTGTTGTTGAAGAAAATTTAACCACGACAGAAACATCAATTTTTGAAACAACAACAATAACCACTGAATATCCAGAAATGGAAACTACAACTGAAATTACCACCGAGTTGAATAATTCAACTGAAATTGTTAATAAAGAAATTGAGAAACGTTCAGTTATTATTATGGTTTTCAATATTGATGATAATACGACAATTTCACCTGAGATGGAAAATTCAACTGAATCAAATGAAATTGTCGCTGAAAAAACAACTAAAGAGTCCGATGACTATGAATATAATTATTGGAAAAAATAATTAATGAGGCTTAAATTAAAGAAATGATGCAACATTTTTCTCTACTACTTAGGTAATGAAATATATTTTTTATTAATTGGATTTTCTTTTTAAAAAAAATTATAGGGTAGAAATAATATTATATAGCTTCTTTGTTCAATGAAAAACCATTGTTTAAAACCCTAAAAATTAAATTTTACAGATTTAAAAATATTTTTATAGCTCCTTTGTTCAATGAAAAACCATTTAAAACAAAAAAATAACTTTTAGTTAAAATTTAAAAATATTTTGATAGCTCCTATGTTCAATGGAAAACCATTTACAAAAATTAAATTTTGTTAATTTAATAATATTTATATAGCTCCTTTGTTCAATGAAAAACCATTTTTTATTTTTAAATAATTTTTGATATAAATTAAAAATATTTTAATAGCTCCTTTGTTCAATGGAAAACCATTTTTTGTAAAAATTAAATTTGTTTTAATTAAAAAATAAAAATTAAATTTTACAGATTTAAAAATACTTTTATAGCTCCTTTGTTCAATGAAAAACCATTTTTAAAAAAAAAAAACTTTTGGTTAAAATTTAAAAATATTTTGATAGCTCCTTTATTCAATGAAAACCCATTTTTTAATATCTAATTTATTTATAGATTCCTTAACTTTAATTTAAAAAAAAAATTTGAAATTTAATTTTACTGATTTGAAAATATTTTTAATATTTTAATTTTTTTGTTTAATGGAAAACCCTTTGTAAAAATTTAATTTTGCTGGATGTAAAAACCTTTTTATAACTCCTTCGTTCAATGAAAAACCATTTATAAAAATTAAATTTTGTTAATTTAATAATATTTATATAGCTCCTTTGTTCAATGAAAAACCATTTTTTTTTAAAATAATTTTTGATATAAATTAAAAATATTTTAATAGCTCCTTTGTTTAATGGAAAACCATTTGTAAAAATTAAATTTGTTTTAATTAAAAAATATTTTTATATAGCTACTTTATTTAATGAAAATTTCTTTTTTTAAAATTATTTATTTACAAATTAAATTTTTTCTGATTAGTAAAAATACTATTTTTTTATTTTAATTATTATTTATTTATTTTAAAATAATTTAATATTTTTATAAAATTAATAATGTCAATAAAAAAAAAATTTTTTAGCTTTTAATTCTTGATTAATGTTAATTGATTTTTTAAAAAATTATTTCTATACTTTTTTTTTTTTTATTTCCAGGCAAAGAAAAAACATTTATTCATTGTATATAGAATAATCGATAACCAAAAGGATGTATAATAATTTTAATGATTTTTTTTTTACAAGTGATTTGATAATTTTAAAACAAATATTGGAAAACGACAAGACTTTTAATATTAAAATTGACGTTATTTTTTAAACAATATCAGAAAATTTGAATGTCAAAAAAAAAACAATTATATCAGTGAAATTTGTTTTTTTAATACAATGTCTGTAAACAATTTTAAAAGAGAAAATTTGAAAATAAAAAATACGATGTGAAAAAAATTGTGTTTTAATATACAAAATAGGTTATATATATATATATTTTTTTTTTGAATTAATAAAAACGCAAAAATGATATACTTTTATAATTAATTATATTATAATTAATTTATTGAACTTTTTATTTTATTTTATTTATTTTATTTATTTTATTTATTTTATTTATTTTATTTATTTTATTTATTTTATTTATTTTATTTATTTTATTTATTTTATTTATTTTATTTATTTTATTTATTTTATTTATTTTATTTATTTTATTTATTTTATTTATTTTATTTATTTTATTTATTTTATTTATTTTATTTATTTTATTTATCAGAAAAAAAGCTAAATACGTGTGTATTTTACTACTATTTTGTCAAATACTGTGAAAGTATCTCTAGAACAATAATTTCAGCGTTGCCAAACCTATAAATATAAAAAATAATAGCAGGGCTCGGTAGTTTAAAATCATTTTGATTCCCACTCCTAACCTATCTTACTTTGATGCGCCAACTTCACACTACTAATTATAATTATTTTTTTTTCTGCTATTATATATTTTTAAAGAACATTTAAAGAACAAAATACTCGATTTTTAATTCTACCATCGAAAAAATATTCGTTTTAAGATTTATTGTGTAAAACAAAAATATATAAGGTAAGTTTTATTCGCCCATATGCGTATATATCTATATATGTCATATACAATATTTTCTTAAATTTTCTTTTTGGCTTTTCATTAAAATAATTTATTCTACTTTTAATATTGTTATATAGTTAAATTTTAAAAATGCAAATAAGGAATAGAAAATTAATTGCAGTTAATTAATTATACATATAGAAAAAAGTGCGCGTTTTTTTTTCGGGGGGCGAAAAAAATTTTGAGGTTATGTTCCTAAATCGCACGTGTTTTTTTTTTGGGTGCTTTTCTATTAAAGATCGTAAAGACAAATATTTATAAAACTTTTGTAAATTAAAACTTAAAATTTCTTTTTAATAAATATTTAATTTTTAATTAATTTATAAATTTATAACTTAAAAAAAAAAATAAATTTTAAAATTATATTTAAAAAAAATATATAATTTTAATGCGAAGTATAAATTAGAGGTTTTATTATTTATTCTTATTATTATTATTGTTATTATTTTTGTTATTATTATTATTTATAATTAAAAAAAATTTTTTTAAAATTATTTATAATAATTATTATTATTAATTAGTAAATAATTAGAATTATTATATTTTTGTTTCTAAATGAAAATAAGAGAAAAATAAATATAAATTAATTATAAAAATAAAATTTTATTAATAATAATAATAATAATAATAATAATAATTATTATTATTATTATTAATTATTAATAAAAAAAGTAAAGAAAGTAAAAGTAATTAAATAAAAAATCATTAATTATTAATTAATAATAAATTATTAAATAATTAAATAAGTTTTTTTTTTAAATAATAATTAATAATTACTATATTATTTTTTAATTAAAATATGAAAATTTGTTTAAAAATTTTTTTATATCAAAATTTTGTGTTAGAAAATAATAGAAAAATAATTTCTTTTTCAGAATTAAATATAATATAATTTTTGCTGTTTTTTTTTGTTGACGCTACAAAAAAAAGAAAAAAAAAAAAACCAAAAAATTATAATAATGGAAGAGAATGCAAAGAATAATCAATTGGACGATGAAAAATTAAGAACATTATATGTACGTTGGCCAAAAACAATTAATGACGATAAAGAAGTGACAAATTTATTTTCAAATGATGTTAAAATTAAATTACCAAGGCAAAAATCAAGATGTTGTCATATTATATTTTCAACAATAAAAAAACGTGAAAAATATTTAAAAACAATGAAGGACAAATTAAATATTAATGGTAAACGTATTATTATAATGCCATTAAAGGAGAAAAATTTGGATAGACGAAAAAATAAAATTACACGACAAGTTGAAACATTAAAAAAAGTTGTTGTTCCACGTCCACAACAATCATCAGTTCAATCGTAGGAAATTCAAATATCTATATATATATATTTATTTTTTTTTTAAATTAAATTATAATTTTTTTTTTCTAAATTAAATTAAAATTTTTTTTTTAATTAAATTAAATTTTTTCTTTTCTTTTTGTAATTAAATATTAAATTATTGAATTATTTAAATAATATATAAATTCAATTAATTTGGATTTAAATTAATTTTTGTAAATTGAAATTCGAAATTAAATTAATTTTTGTAAATTAAAATTCGAAATTAAATTAATTTTTGTAAATTAAAATTCGAAATTAAATTAATTTTTGTAAATTAAAATTCAAATTCAGATTTAAATTAATTTTTGTAAATTAATATTTGTCTTTAAATTGATTAATAAAATTTAAATTCATTTGGTTTTAAATTAATTAATTTATATAAATTAAAATTTTTTTTTTTTAAATTTGGAATTAAATTAATAAAATTTAAATTCATTTGATTTTAAATTATTGAAAATTTACATTTATTCTGAATTAAATTAATGAAAATTTACATTTACATTTTTATTTAAATTAATAAAATTTACATTTTTTTGGATTTAAATTTAGTTTTATTTAAATTTTAATTAATTATTGTAAACGAAATTAATTCAATATTTACCAGTAAAAAAAAAAATTTTTCTATTAAAAATTAGTGAATTTTAATTATTAATTTTTCTCTTTTTTCAGTTTATTCGTAACGGATATTCCAAAAGAAACAAAAGCACAGGAAGTGAAGGATGCTTTTCCTGAATGCACAACTCTTGCTTTATTAAATGCCCGCGATGGAAAAAATAGGTAAGAAATTCATTTTTTTTTTTTTTTTAAATCAAAAATTCTCCTAAAAAATATTAAATAACTTTTTATTTTAGGATTAAAATAAAAAATTCTATTTTAATTTTCTCGTTTTCTTCTTTTTTTTCCAGCAAATCGGCAATTATTAAAATGTCAAATATAAAATTTGCCACCGCCTATTTAAATAATGAAAATCCAGCGCCAACAATTAATGGTAATACAGTGAAAATATTTCCCTATAAAAAAAGATCGAAATCATTGAAAAAAAAATTAAAAACAATGTTACAAAAATTGGATAATTCAAGTGAAATTAAAATTGATTCCAATGATGATGAATAGTTAATTTGTAAGAAAGAAAGAAAATGTATTTTTCAAGTAAGTTTTTTTCTTCTTTTTTTTTTAAATATAGAATTACAAACAAATAAAAGGAAAATTTTATTTTTTTTTTGAAAAAAAATTTCATTTCACCAAACAGAATTTTTAATTACAAAAAAGAATTTTATAAAATTTTTGAAACTCATTAAATTTTCAACTTTCTAAAAATTTGGATAAATTAAATAATTTGAAAATAAAGAAATTTTGAAAAATTCGTAAAAAAATACAAATTTCTATGAAAATTAATTTTTATTTATTGAAATACATAACTTTTATATGTTCAAAAAAAAAACTAATAATTTATAATAATACAAAAACCCCAAAAAAAGGGAACTAAAAAATAATTTGTTCTCAATTTACAAAATTTTTCATACACACACACACATAAATATATGAAAAATGATCACATCTCTTGTTTCATTATATTTTCAATTTCTTCAATATAATTATAATGTTTTGTTGTGAATTTATTTGATAATTTCATCCATGTTTTAAATTCATTAAAATGAATAAATGCCTTTTGTAGTGTTGAATTTTTTTCCATTTCATTATCATCAAGAAAACTTTTACTTTCTTCAATTTCAATATTTTCCACATCCTCATCATCATTATCATTATCATCATCATTATCCTCATCGTCATTATCAATTTCATCTTTTATTATTGGTAAAAATTCATTTTCCATACAATCTTCAAAATTCATTGAATCTTCAAATAATGATGTTGCAGTTGTTGTTGTTGTTGTTGTTCTTGTTGTTTCATCATTTGTTGTATTTGGTAATTTACGTTTTCGTTTTTCAAAATTTAATTCATTTTTTATTTCCATAAATTTATTACGTAATTCGGCAAATTCATTTCTTAATTCAGAAAAATCTTGTTTCATTTCCATATAATTACGTTGCATTTCATTTTTATCATCATCTATAACTGTTAATGACGCTGACGATAATTGACAATTTTTGTCATTTGAAATATTTTTATTTTCAATTTTTTTTGTTTTCACCTCATCATTAAACCATTCAAGAAATTTTTCCTTATTCTCATTAGTTGACCAATTTGATTCACTCAAAAGTTGTGATAATTGATCGCCTTTATTTTGTAAAAAACTTTTTGATTCCTCAACAATTAATGATGATTCATTGAAATTATTTTTTGTTGCCATTGTTAATAATGGATCATGTGATAAATTATTATTATTATTATTATTATTACTGCTACTGTTATTATTATTTTTACTATTATTATTAATTGCTTGTGAATCAGATAAAAATGTTTTCCAAACTTTTTTCAATGTCGCCGAATTAATATTATCCCATGCTTCACCAATTAATTGTAGACAATCGTGAAGATTAAATTTTTTTATATAATTCTCAGTACCATGACGACTAAGTAGCGCTTGTTTTAATAAATTATTTTTATAATGTTTTTTTGTTAATGAAACTAAACCTTGATTCATTGGTTGATTTTCAAATGTCATATTACTTGGTAGTGGTAGTATTTGAAAATTTTTATTTATCGCATTCAATTCATTGAGCGGTGGATGACATTGATCATTGTCAATAATTAGAATTACTTTGCCAGTGATGCCTGATTTTTTTTGATGTTCAATTACACTGGGAATGAATATAAATTTGTACCTAAGAAAAAAGAAAAGTCAAAAATTAATTCAAAAATAAATTAATTTTTTCTCATTTTATCATCGATATATCGATTTATACATTGATACATCGATTAATATGTTGATATATCGATTTATCTATCGATATATCGATTTATACTTCGATATATCGATTAGTATGTCGATATATTGATTTATACTTTGATATATCGATTAATATGTCGATATATGGATTTATGTATCGATATATCGATTTATACTTTGATATATCGATTAGTAAATCGATTAATAGGTCGATATATCGATTCATACTTCGATATATCGATTTATACTTCGATATATCGATTAATATGTCGATAAATCGATTAATATGTCGATATATCGATTTATGTATCGATTTATACTTTGATATATCGATTAGTATATCGATTAATAGGTCGATATTTCGATTTATACTTCGATATATCGATTAATAGGTCGATATATCGATTAATATGTCGATGTATCGATTAATATGTCGATATATGGATTTATGTATCGATATATCGATTTATACATTGATATATCGATTAGTAGGTCGATATATCGATTCATACTTCGATATATCGATTAATATGTCGATAAATCGATTAATATGTCGATATATCGATTTATGTATCGATTTATACTTTGATATATCAAGTAGTATATCGATTTATACTTCGATATATCGATTAATATGTCGATATATCGATTTATACTTCGATATATCGATTTATACTTCGATATATCGATTAGTATGTCGATATATCGATTTATACTTCGATATATCGATTTATACTTCGATATATGGATTTATACTTTGATATATCGATTAATAGGTCGATATATCGATTCATACTTCGATATATCGATTTATACTTCGATATATCGATTAATATGTCGATATATCGATTTATACTTCGATATATCGATTAATATGTCGATAAATCGATTAATATTTCGATATATCGATTAATATTTCGATATATCGATTTATACTTTGATATATCGATTAGTATATCGATTAATAGGTCGATATATCGATTCATACTTCGATATATCGATTTATACTTAGATATATCGATTTTTCTCTACATTTTCAAAAAAAAATATAAAGTTAAAAAAAATTTTTTGTTTCTTTTCCATAAAAATAAATAACATTACCATAGGAGAAAAATTTCTTTATCCATTTTTGATTTTTTCCCATGTGTATAGACAACATTGAATTTTTGAAAAAATTTTAAACGTTTTTCTCGTAATTCAGAATTCATAAATTGTTCAAGACATTCGGGATTTTCATTATCGCCAATTGTTAATAATGGAATACGATGACTTCCTGTTGCATTACCGCAAAATAATGTTGTAATATTATCAGAAATTTTTTTACTTTTTTCCTCATCATCATCATCATCATCATCATCGTTGTCGTCTTCGTCGTCATCATCGTGGTTTTCTATGTCATCATCGCTATCATTATTTTCAGTGGAATTATTATTATTATTTTTATTATTATTTAACGGTCGCCAATTAATTCTTGATTCATCGGCATTATATAAATTATCCAATGATAAATTTTCATATTGTACACGTACTTTTGTTGTTGTTTTTTTACTTTCTAAATTTACCATTTTATTTTCGTCTCTTGTTGTTAGATTAACTTTAAAATTTATTCTTCCCTGTTTGAAAAAAGAAATAAATTAAAATAAACACTAATTTTTTTATTAATTTAAATATTAAGTATGAATTTTTTTTTTTTTTTTTAATAATTAAATATAAAAACCTTTGATGTATCATTATTTGATGTTGAGGCATTTTCAATTTTTGCTCTTTTTGCCAATGAATTATTATCATTATTTTTTGTTGTCAATAAATTTTTCATTCTTATTTCACGATGATAATTATTACTGTCGTCATTATTATCATTATCATTGCATATTGCACCTAAATCAGAAAGTATTTGTGCCGATGTACGACGTATACTGTGACCAGTGTAACATTCAAAATTTGGTAAATTCAAATATTTTGCCACTTGTTTTGGCATTGCGCCAAATTTATTAATACCAATAACTTGCTGTGTACATTTACCATAATTATAATTGACAAAAAAACGTGTTGTCACAATATTTTTTGGACGTAATTCAGCGTATGATTTATATAAATTATAAAATAATTCACCATGTACAAAAAATGTACGTTCATTTTTTCTCTCTTCATTTTGTACTTTAACAATTAAATGTGAACCAAAATCTTTAATATTTGATGTTCGAATTTCACATAATTCACCTTTTTTCAATGAACCACAAATTGCAAAGATGATTGCCACCTTTATAAAAAAAAAAAAAAAATCAATAAAATAGTAATAACAATTATACATTACATGGAAAAAAAAAATCTTTACCTAAAACAGGGATATATTTTACTAAAATAGAGAAAGTTTTTACTATTCTAGAAAAACATATCGCTGTTCCAAATAAAAATTCTTTTCCCTCTAAAATAAAGAAATATATAAAGAAAAGATCATTTTTGGAAATTTTATTGTAATTTTTAGGTAATTCATAGTAATTATTAGGTAAGTTCAATTTAGAAAATAGTAAAATTAATTTTTGAAAAAGGGGGTTCTGATCATTATACTACTGAAGAATTAAAAAAAGGGGGGTACTGAACATTATGCTACTGAAGAATTATAAAAAAGGGGGTAGTGACCATTAAACTATTAAAGAATTAAAAAAAAAAATTAAAATTAACCCATTAACGACCGCCAGGACGAAAAATTTACCTTCACTTAGCAGCTGTTATTTTATATGAAAAAATAATTAAAAAAATTCAGGATAGCCCATTTCTAACGTAAAATTTATCGCTCTTTTCGATTCTGAAGTCCAAATTTAATTATAATTAAATCCTTAATATTTATAACAATTTTATTGCAAAAAAAAAATGATTTTCTGCAAAAAAAATTTTTATTCAAAAAATATTTTGACATGGAAAACGACAGTTAATTTGCTCCGGAACCCAAAATATCGCGTCCTCGAATACTCAGCTACAAAACTGTATAGTTGCGAATTTCAAAATTTAAGATGGCGGACGACAAAATGGCGATTTTCCACTAAAAAAGATTTAAAAAATACTATTTTGCAAAAAATAATATATTGATGAATTATTTTTATTTCTGCACCATATACTTATGTTTATTGGGTCACTAAACACGAATACGGTATAAGTTTTCAAAAATTCAAAATGGCGGATCCAATAAGGCGGACAATTTTTTCAAAAACTCAATGGATTTATTTGAAATTTGTTACTCGGGGGTTTTTGGGGTCGCCGGTTACAAATCTGAAGTTACTTTTCAATAATTCAACATGGCGGATCCGAAATAGCCTACAAATTTTAAAATTCACCGAATTTGCTTGAAAATCAATACTTATTGAGTTTTTGGTGTCGTTGATTTCGAATTACTTCACTTTATATTGAAATCGAACACATTTTTTATTACTGATCTACTATTTTATTACTGTGTGACCATAAAATTTCACCATTTCTACCGTCAAAGGAGTACTGAAATAATCAAATTGTTTAACATTTTTTATAAAAATTTCTAAAGAGACGCGTATACTTTAAAGGATTTTCTGCAGGGTTAAAATTTGTAGGCTATTTCGGATCCGCCATGTTGAATTATTGAAAAGTAACTTCAGATTCGTAACCGGCAACCCCAAAAACCCCCAAGTAACAAATTTCAGATAAATCCATTGAGTTTTTGAAAAAATTGTCCGCCATATTGGATCCGCCATTTTGAATTTTTGAAAACTTATACCGTATTCGTGTTTAGTGACCCAAAAAACATAAGTATATGGTGCAGAAATAAAAATAATTCATCAATATATTATTTTTTGCAAAATAGTATTTTTTAAATCTTTTTTAGTGGAAAATCGCCATTTTGTCGTCCGCCATCTTAAATTTTGAAATTCGCAACTATACAGTTTTGTAGCTGGGTATTTGAGGACGCGATATTTTGGGTTCCGGAGCAAATTAACTGTCGTTTTCCATGTCAAAAATATTTTTTGAATAAAAATTTTTTTGCAGAAAATCATTTTTTTTTTTGCAATAAAATTGTTATAAATATTAAGGATTTAATTATAATTAAATTTGGACTTCAGAATCGAAAAGAGCGATAAATTTTACGTTAGAAATGGGCTATCCTGAATTTTTTTAATTATTTTTTCATATAAAATAACAGCTGCTAAGTGAAGGTAAATTTTTCGTCCTGGCGGTCGTTAATGGGTTAATTAAATAATAAAATTTTTTTAATTTCGTTATTTTAATTAAAAAAAAAAAATTAATAAAGTAATTAACAATTATTTTTTTTTTAGTTAAAATTTATAAATTAATAATTTTGAATAATTTATAATTGTCTCTAATTATTAAAATTTTTTTTTTAATTTATAATTTATAAATTTTATCAAGTTTAAATAATTATAAGCAACTAAAAATTAACAATAAAATTAAATTTTGTTTTTCTAATTTAAAAAAAAAAAATTGTAAAAGTTGTAAGTTAATAATTAACGAAAAATTTTTTTAATTATAAGTTATCAGTTCTTCTTTGTCGGGACAAAAAATATTTTTTATAATAAGAGATAGAGCTTTACAATTAATGAACAGGTCATAAAATCGTCTTTGTTCTTTTCAGTTGTATCTATTTTCTTTAGAGAACTTAAAATTTTAATAAAATCTTTAATATCACAAAAAATAATAATTTTATAATTATTTTTTATATTAATTAATTTACTTTTAAAAAGAATTAATAAAATTCCGTTAATTTTTTTTATTTTTTCTATAATAAGTTTTAACACGATTATAACCTAAAAATTTATAAAGAAAAATTTTTTTCGATAAAAATTTTTACAGTAAAAAAATAAAAAAAAAAAAAATGTCCATTCTTTTTTCATCTTCTTACCTTTGTTGCCAAATAATTATGATCGGGTGCATTATTTAAAAATTCCAATATTTCTTTACTCGATAAAATTTTTGGCTTTTCACTTTTATAACCTTTTGATTCTTTTCTCAATAATGCATTTAATTGCGTATAACTACGTATATCAATGTTATTATTTATTTTCAATGTACTTTTTAACATTGAATAACGTGCCCATAATGTTGGCGGTTTAACTTTACCAATTAATTCATTAAAATATGATAATACAACATTTTCTGAGAGGTTTTTAATTTTTTTTGCCGCTTGCCATGCAGTAAAATGTTGATAGACAGCTTCATATTTTTCTTTTGATTTTGCTGGTAAATTTTTTGTTATTGTATTATCAATTTTTCCATTATTATCATCATTTGTTGTTAAATCCCAATCATTTTCTGTTGATTCATTCATATTTTTTTTTTTTTTTTTTTTTTTTTCACTTTATTATTCTGTTTTACTGTTTTTGTTACACTTGTTTCGACAACTTTTATAACAACATTCTACGACAACTTTCACGAAGGGAAGACATTTTTTTTTTTTTTTATTGTCTCACAGTGCGCATGCGCACAGTGCGAGAAAGCTATTTTCCCGCCGGTTATTTGAATAAATTTTTAATGAAAAACGAGGGTATTTAAAAAAATATTTTTTCCCCCTCCCTTTCATTGTTACCAAAATGAAAAAGCAAAAATTTCTCTCCTTTTTTTAAAAAAATTAAAAAAAATAATTCTTATAATTTATTAACTAATTTTGAAAATAATTCTTAGTAGTATAATAAAAAAAAATAATTATTATTTAATTATGGTTAAATTAAATTAAAAATTTTTTTTTAGAATAAAAATAGTTTATAAATTTGTTTTTAATTTAAAACATTTAAATTCGAATTTTCCCGCGGAAATATAGTTTCATAATTTGCCACCGTGGCGTAAGTGTCGCAATGAATTTTTTGTTTGACGGAGTCGTCACATCATCATCATAATTTTCCCAATGCCTGTGTGTTATGTGTCTGTGTATTTTTAATATTCTGTGCGAAATTATCGAGGGGACAAGTCTATCTTTAAAAAAAAAAAAAAATAAAATATAATCGCGAAAATGTTTTTTACGCTTGGAGGAGGCGTTAGTTATTTTTTTTCAATTCATTTATTATAGGTCTCTCTCTCTCTATATATAGACAGAAAATTATTGAGGGAGAAAAAAAAAGATGCTGACAAATATAATTGCGCGATTAGATGAGTGTCAAAAGTTCGCGTGTGCATTTAGAAGAACTAACCTCCAAATTTTTTTTAGTACATTCAAAAATCACGGTCAACAATTAAATACAATCAATTGTTAGATTCGTTTGTTTGTTTCAATTTTCACATTAACAAATAAGAGTTTTGTAATTTTTTTTTTTTTCTACTTATATTTATAAATATAAAAAACGCAAGTTGTCGCGGTGAGAAATCGAGTTCGAGTCAATAAAAAAAGAAAAAAAAAAATTGTCAATTTTTCGAAAATTCGTTTACAGTTATTTTTTTACAATCTTCTTTTTTTCGTGTTTTCATAAAAGATTTTTTATTAAATGAGTGAATTATTAGAAATTTCGTGAAAATAGTTTTAAAAAAAAAAATTATTTTTTTTTCTGTTACAAGTGCGTCAAAGATGGGGAATTATTTTCCATTTCAATTTTTTGATGTTTTAATTTTTTGCCATTTCAAAGAAGACTGAGGATTTTTTCTAATAATATTGTAAAAAAAAATAAAATTTTTAAGGTACGTTCATTTTTTTCAAAGTTTTGTTATTTTTCGATTCAATTGTTTCTTATTATTTTTATTAATAATAATATTATTATTATTATTATTATATTTATATTTATTATTCATCATTAATATAAAACAAACTTTTTGTAACGGTCCGTTACTTTTTCTCTCTTCCGTGTGCATCTGAAACAAAAAAAAGGAACAATTATTATTATTATTATTATTATTATTCAAATAAATATAATTAATAAAATAATTTATTAATTTTTCTATTTTTTTAATTATTAAAAAAATTCCGTTTACAATTAAATAAAATAAAAAATAATTTATTATTCATTTTTTTATTTATAGAATTATTGATTAAAATTATAAAAATAAAATTACTAAATAAATACGTTTGAAATAAAAATTTAAAAAATATAAAATAGAATGTTAATTTGAATATAATAATAATAATAATAATAATAATAAATTTCCAAAAATTATAATTTGCTAAAAATTACTGCAAAAGTGACCATAAATTTCCAAAAATTGATAAATTACTAAAAAGTACCGCAAAAATGACCATAAATTTCCAAAAAATTATAAGTTACTAAAAATTACCTCAAAAATAACCATAAATTTCCGAAAAATTATCTCATAAGTTACCATAAATTTCTAAATATTATTTGCACGAATTTTCATAAAAATAAATAAATATATTTCCATAATTTTCCAAAAATTACTGCAAAAGTTATTATAATTTTCTATAATTTTCCAAAAATTATTATAAATTTCTATAATTTTCCAAAAATTACCCAAAAAATTATTATAAATTTTTATAATTTTCCAAAAATTACCTCATAAATTATTATAAATTTTCATAAATTACCGAATTTTATATAAATTCCGTTACAAGTGTTTGTAAATTTTCATAAATTTCAATAAATTTGAAAAATGTCCCTAAAAAAAAAAACCCTTATAAATTACTTCAAAGTTAAAAAACAATTTCTCTTTCCAATACATTTTTCTTCCCTTCAAAAAATCTAATTTTCTAAATTTTTATCAATGAAAAATTAATTTTGCTTCTTACAGACAAATATCATAAACAATGGACTTGAATAGTTGCATAGAAATAAGGAGGCTCAATAAAAATTGTGAATTTACAATGAAAAAAAAACGTCATATCGAATAGAACAAAAAAAAAATTTGCCATGTTAAAATTTATATAAAATAAAAATTGGTACGAATAATCGACCATTTTTTTATATATATATAAATAATCATTAATAATGCAGGCAAAAAAGCGTTATTTACTTTTATTTGTCACATGCGCATTTCTTGGATATTGTTATTTTGGTGGTTATAGATTAAAAAGTGATAAACCATCAACTAAATTAAATTTTCCCTACGATAAACTCCCGTCCTATATAACATTAAATGAAGAATTTTATGATAAAGATTTAAAAATAACAACAACAAATTTTCTTCAACAAACATCACAAAATATGCGCAATTGTCGAATGGAAACATGTTTTGATTTTACACGTTGTAAACAGGGTTTTACAGTTTATGTTTATCCAGTTGAGGATACAATAATTAGTCCATTGTATCAAAAAATACTCAATGTTATAACTGAATCACGTTATTATACAAGTGATCCAACAAAAGCATGTTTATTTGTACTTGCATTGGATACATTAGATAGAGATCCATTGTCAACAGAATTTATTCATAATTTACCAACAAAATTATTACGTTTACCATATTGGAATAGTGGTAAAAATCATTTGATATTTAATCTTTATTCGGGTACATGGCCCGATTATGCTGAGGATTCAATGGCATTTGAATTGGGTTATGCAATGTTGGCTAAAGCAAGTATGTCAATATCAAAATTAAGACCCGATTTTGATATATCAATACCATTATTTCAAAAACAACATCCAGAACGTGGCGGTGAATTGGGACAAGCGGCTGAAAATAGTTTTCCAAGTAATAAAAAATATGTCGCTGCATTTAAAGGGAAAAGATATGTTCATGGTATTGGATCAGAAACACGTAATTCACTTTATCATTTGCATAATGGTAAAGATTTGGTATTTGTCACAACATGCCGTCATGGAAAATCATGGAGAGAATTACAGGATGAACATTGTCAACAGGATAATCAGGAATATGATACGTGAGTGAATTTTTGAGAATTTTTGTTTGTTTTAATTAATTGTTTTCTGCTTTTTTTTCTTCTTTGTTCTAGAAAATTGGAGTTGTTGATTCAAAAGGTTGTGTAAATAAATATTTATCAAAAATTTACTGCAATTTACAAAATAGTAAATTTCATTTTTGTAAAAGAGGATACTGATTATTATACTACTGAAGAATTATTAAAAAAGGGGGTACTGAACACTATACTACTGAAGAATTATAAAAAAGGGGGTACTGAACATTATACTACTGAAGAATTAAAAAAGGGGGTACTGAACATTATACTACTGAAGAATTTAAAAAAGGGGGTACTGATCATTATACTACTGAAGAATTATAAAAAAAGGGGGTACTGAACACTATACTACTGAAGAATTTAAAAAAGGGGGTACTGATCATTATGCTACTGAAGAATTATAAAAAAAGGGGGTACTGAACATTATACTACTGAAGATATTAAAAAAGGGGGTACTGAACATTATACTACTGAAGAATTATAAAAAAGGGGGTACTGAATATTATACTACTGAAGAATTTAAAAAAGGGGGTACTGATCATTATGCTACTGAAGAATTATAAAAAAAGGGGGTACTGAACATTATACTACTGAAGATATTAAAAAAGGGGGTACTGAACATTATACTACTGAAGAATTATAAAAAAGGGGGTACTGAATATTATACTACTGAAGATATTAAAAAAGGGGGTACTGATCATTATACTACTGAAGAATTATAAAAAGGGGGGTACTGATCACTATACTACTGAAGAATTATAAAAAAAGGGGTACTGAACACTATACTACTGAAGAATTATAAAAAAGGGGGTACTAATTACTATACTACTGAAGAATTATAAAAAAGGGGGTACTGAACATTATACTACTGAAGAATTTAAAAAAGGGGGTACTGATCATTATGCTACTGAAGAATTATAAAAAAAGGGGGTACTGAACATTATACTACTGAAGATATTAAAAAAGGGGGTACTGAACATTATACTACTGAAGAATTATAAAAAAGGGGGTACTGAATATTATACTACTGAAGAATTTAAAAAAGGGGGTACTGATCATTATGCTACTGAAGAATTATAAAAAAAGGGGGTACTGAACATTATACTACTGAAGATATTAAAAAAGGGGGTACTGAACATTATACTACTGAAGAATTATAAAAAAGGGGGTACTGAATATTATACTACTGAAGATATTAAAAAAGGGGGTACTGATCATTATACTACTGAAGAATTATAAAAAGGGGGTACTGATCACTATACTACTGAAGAATTATAAAAAAAGGGGTACTGAACACTATACTACTGAAGAATTATAAAAAAGGGGGTACTAATTACTATACTACTGAAGAATTATAAAAAAGGGGGTACTGAACATTATACTACTGAAGAATTATAAAAAGGGGGGTACTGATCACTATACTACTGAAGAATTATAAAAAGGGGGTACTGAACATTATACTACTGAAGAATTATAAAAAGGGGGGTACTTATTACTATACTACTGAAGAATTATAAAAAAAGAGAATACTGATCATTATACTGCTGAAGATTTGGAAATTAAAAAATTTTTTTTTGAAAAAGATATATATTTTCTATTAAAATTTTTTCAATTGAACAGTTTTAACAAACAGTAACATTAACTTATAATTAATAAGTCAATTTAAATGCCGGTTTTATGTAATAAACATCTACTTCATTGCTTTTTATCCATTTTAATATTAATTAGTATATCAGAGGCGTAAGATTATAGATTATTACTTGACACTATTTTTTTAATACTTGACCTTTGATAAAGACATTTAAAAAAAAAATGATAAAACAATAATTTCAATATACGATATGTCAATTTAATTAGTAAAATAATTTCCTACAGTTTTCTAGTACAATTTTTTTTTAAAATAAATTAATTTTTTTTGCGAATACAAAAAATGATAAAAAATTTTTTTTTCTCAAGAATCCCGTTTTACAAATTAATAAATAATTAAAAAACTCGTAATTTATTTTTTCTATCAAAAGATATTTAATAAAATCTTTTGGAATATTTTAAAATTTTCCTTCGCGATAAAAATTAATTAGATAAAACAAAAAATTAGACTTTGGATTTAATTTTACGGGTTATTGCAAATTATTTTTGTATTTAACTTCATTGAAAAAAATTCTAGGAAGATGTTAATTATTTATCAAGTAGAGTAGAAATAAAGAAAGCAATGAATATGTAGATATTTATTATTTTTTATTAATGATTTATTAATTATTACATTCTCATTATAAATGAGAAAGTATTTTATATTAATATTAATTATAAATTAATTATTTTTTATTAACTATTTAACAATTGTTAATTATTAATAGTTATTAATTAATTATTATTAATTAATACTTATTTTTAACTAATAGTTATTAATTAATACATATTATTAGTTAATAGTTATTAATAATTAACAATTATATTAATAATAGTAATTTAATTAATATTTTAAAAACAAGTTCAATTTAATTTTTTTCATAAATTTCATTTATATTAAAATTTTCTATTTCTAATAAAGTCGTTCTTTGCCCCTCCGTGTGATAAAAAAAAAAGCAAACACCATTTGAATCACAGCTTCCACTTGAAAAATTTTTAAAGTATAGTCAATGGGTTTTTTTTAAGAAGAAAAATTACACTCTTCTTTTTGCAGATATGATTATGAAATTCTCTTGATGAATGCCACATTTTGTTTGGTTCCCCGCGGTCGTAGACTTGGTAGCTTTCGTTTCTTGGAAGCATTGAGGGCTGGCTGTATTCCCGTTATACTCAGCAATGGGTGGGCACTTCCTTTTCACGATCGTATTGACTGGAATCAAGCGGTTATATTCACCGACGAGAGGCTTCTTCTACAAGTTCGTAGAATAAAAATAGCACTCCTTTTTTTTCATCTTCTTTTAAAATTTACTACAACGAATATTTTTTTTTTCTCCCCTTTTGCAGATTCCAGATATAGTGAGATCTGTTTCGAATACAAAAATTCTCAAATTAAGACAACAAACACAATTTTTATGGGAACGTTATTTCTCATCTATTGAGAAAGTTATTTTCACCGTATTTGAGGCAAGCGGAAAAAAATTGTTTATTGAACTCTTTTTTTTTTTTTTTTTTTTTGATTGTGAAATTTATTTTCTTTCTTTCATCCGTAGAGTATACGAGAGAGATTACCATGGGAGGGTTCGAGGGAGGGTATTATTTGGAATACAAGTCCTGGAGCATTGGCAATTTTACCACAATTCGCTGATAGTCAACAGGAATTACCATTTACAAGTAGTAATCCGGGTAATACATTTACAGCGATTATTTATTCACAATTGGGTTCAACTGCTGTTCTTTATCGTTTATTAAAAAGTCTCGCCAAGTGTAAATATTTAGATAAGGTGGGTTTCTTCGTTTTTTTTTTTTTTTTTTAATTAAATTTCAATTTAGAAAATGAGAAAAAAAAAAATATTCCCTCTTACAGATTATTTTAATGTGGAACTCGGACATTCCATTGCCGAGAAAACCACGTTGGCAGGGAATCAAAGCGACAATACTTGTGGTTTCTGCCGATGGGATATCACATCGATTTTATCCCCATCCACAAATCAAAACTAGTGCCATATTATCATTAGATGAGGATGCAACACTCAATACTGATGAAATTGATTTTGCCTTTAATGTTTGGCAATCATTTCCCGAAAGAATTGTTGGATATCCAGCGAGATCTCATTATTGGGACGATTCAAAGGTAAAAATAGGAGAAAACAATTGTTTTTTTTCGTTTAGAAATAGTTGGAATTTTTCTTTATAGTTGGTATAGTGTTTTTGGTTTTGATTTTTCGTAAGGTTTAATAAATGAAAATTTTTTTTATTCAAAAATAGAGATCGTGGGGCTATACGAGTAAATGGACAAATGATTATAGTATAGTATTGACTGGGGCAGCTTTTTATCATCGTTACTATAATACACTTTATACGGAACTATTGAGTTCGACATTGCACAAAACAGTTGAACAATCACAAAATTGTGAGGATATTTTGATGAATTTTCTCGTTAGCCATGTGACACGACGCCCTCCGATTAAAGTCACACAACGTAAATTGTACAAAGACACAACGGCCGCTGGTATCAGGTAGATAAATTTTCTTCACCCCTTTTATTATTCAATTTTTTTTTTTATTTCTATTCTTTCCCTTATCAAAAAGGTTTTTAATTTTTTTAATGAAAAAAAATATATTTGACTAAACGGTTACCGGGGTAACAGTTATCATAGTAACGGTTGCTGGGGTAACAGTTACCATAGTAACGGTTGCTGGGGTAACAGTTACCATAGTAACGGTTGCTGGGGTAACAGTTACCATAGTAACGGTTGCTAGGGTAATAATTACCGTAGTAACGGTTTCTAGGGTAACAATCACCATAGTAACGGTTACTAGGGTAACAGTTACCACAGTAACGGTTGCTAAGGCATCGGTTACCACAGTAACGGTTACTAGAGTAACAGTTACCACAGTAACCATTACTATGGTAATTGTTCGATATTCAAATACCAAAAATAGTTAAAATAATACAAATTTTTTTTTTTCTTTAAATTAATTTAATAAAAAAAAAATAAAAATGATTTATTAGGTCGCCGTGGAACGATCCCGATCATTTTATTCAACGGCAAACATGTATGAATACATTTGTCGCAGTGTTTGGTTATATGCCATTGTTAAGATCAAATTTAAGATTGGATCCAATGCTCTTCAAAGATCCCGTAAGCAACATGCGCAAAAAATATAGACAAATTGAATTAGTTAGTAATTAGATTTTTAATTATATTGTATAGCCGAATGATGATGACAATGTGACGTTATAATATTATTGTAGAATATAATTAGAATCAAATTTTTGTTGAATGTGTACAAAAAAAAAAAAAGAAAAGAAGAGACGTGGTCACCGTTTTTTTTTCTCTCTTTCAGATCTGTTTATATTTTTTACTTTTTCTTTTTTGATAATATTTTTCAGTATATATTATAATTATGTTTTATTTAAAAAAAAAAAAAAACGGTGACGAGATGAGGCTATATTAGAAGGATCATACTTTAAATTATTCATTTACAATTTATTACTGACTATTATTTTTATTAATATTATTATTAAAATTATAATAATTATTAAATTATTATTATAGTTAATTTTATTATTATTATTATTATTATTATTTTTACTATCGTTACAATCATAATAATAATAATAATAATAATAATAATTTTAATTATAATAAAAATTAATATGATAATTATTATTATTGATTGTTTCGATTATATTAATTGTGGGAATTTTATATACATATATTTATATATAAATTATAAATTATATTTAGCGAGATTATCTCGTGCATCAAAGGAGCGGTGGCATTTATTATAATGATAATAATAATTTTTTTTTTTCGACACCTGATGCTAGAGACGACTGTGGCAGCGACGATTCAATACGTTACCAAATTAATTGATTTAATTATTGATATATTGATGAAAATTATTATATATGTACATAAAAAAGTCGATTATGTGTAGCTACTAATATACAATATATATTATTATTATTATTATTATTATTATTATTATATTATTTTTTTAACAGATTCAATTTCCGATGTTCCTCTTCAATCCTGTGATTTTCCTGATAATCATGAGATTTCCTATAATGAATATCCATTTCCAGAGGTTCGAAAAAAAAAACTGTAAATTCAAGAAATAATTATTCTTTTAAGGTTAGATAAAAAAAAATTATTTATATTTTTATTTTAACAGATGTTTTTTTTTTTTTACCATAAATTATATTTATTTATTTATTTATTTAATACAATAGTGTACCCGCGGTTTCTTTATATAGAATATATTCTATATTTAAAAAAAATGTTTAAATTAAATTTTTATCAATTTGAAAATTATAATAATAAATTTAATAGTTAATTTTTTTTTAATTTTTTAAATATTTTGAAATTTTTTCAAAGTATTTTAAATAAGAGCGCCTTTTTCGATCAATGTGAGTTATTGCGCATGCGCAGTTTGCGTTTGGTCTTTAGCATAACAGCGCCTCTATATTTCATTATTTACATCAATTTCTTTTCTACTCAACAGGTATATTAATATGAAGAACGCTGAAAATTGTCCAAAAAAAAATTTGAAAATTATTATGCGCGCATCCACGCCACGTGTTTTTTTCTAAAATTTAATTTTTTTTTAGTTTTTCGGGAGTGTTCATATTATTATTATTTTTTTTTTTTGCCTTTTAAATCCGCAATCAAAATAGTTTTAGTTTTTTAAAAAATTAAAGTGTTTATTTTTATTAAAATTATCAAGATTATTCGTGTAATATATATTTAAAATCGCGAGTGTTTTTTTCCAAAATATATTTTTGTGAAGAAGTTAACAGATTGAAGATCACGTGGAAACAGAGACTGATAATGCTGACTGTATTATTGTAAGTTTAAAACAAGTTTTCTAAAATTATAATTTAATTTTTATTTCTATTTAAAATTTTTTTTTTTTAATAGGCAAAAAATAATTTAAATGCGTTTTAACAATATTGTTTTATTTATTTTTGTATAATTTAAATTATTTTCTATATATAGCAGAATTTTTTTTTACTAAATTTCTCAGCCAATTTTTTATTTTCAAAAATTCGTTTAAAAATTTTTTTTCCTATATTTTTATATAAATACTTGAATTTATTCAAAAAATTTTCTCATATGATAAATATGTATTAACTGTCGATAACTATTATATTTAACAAATATGGTAATTGAAATGAGATTTTCGGAATCTTAAAAATTAATTTTCCAATTATCATTTGTTGATAAAAACAATTTACTAATTTACCGACAGGTTATTTAAAAAAAAAAATACAATTTAATATATTATAAATAATTTTCTTATAATTAAATCGTGAATTACGAAAAGGGGGTTCAACTTGAAAAAGCGCAAGTGTCATTTTCGCAGAACAAACGATAGTGAAAATGACACTTACGGTTTTTTTTTAGAGTTGAGCCCTATTCGAAAGGTTCAATTCTGGATATTTTACATTCAAATGTTAATTTAAATTATATCATTTTATTTTAAATTCAATGGTTTACATATTTAATAATGATTATTTTATAATCAAGTTTTACATTTATTTGATTAATAATATACATAAGAAAACAATAATAATATACTCTCTAAATCTAAATTAGTAGTTTTCTACTACGTTTACCAATAGAATTAGTAACAGTTTTGACAAATTTTTCGTAAAAAACTACTAATTGGTAGTAGAAAACTAATAATTTATGGGGTAAATAGTATTTTTTACTATTTCAAATTAATAAGTCAATTGACTCCATGAATTAGTAGTTTTCTACTAGCAATTAGTGGTTTTGTAGGGTTTCGTGGCCCAGGGCCGAAAGCCTTTATAGTTTCGAATTGGCGTCCATCCGTTCGTCCGTCGTACATGGTAACCGTTTCCATGGCAACAGTTTCCATGGCAACAGTTACTATGGTAACAATTGGTTTCTAAGGCGACAGTTACTTTAGTAACAGTTGGTTTCTATAGCAAAAGTTACTATGGCAACAGTTACTTACTATGGCAAAAGTTACGATGGCAACAGTTACTTACAATGGCAAAAGTTGCCATGGCAATAGTTACGATGGCAACAGTTACTATGGCAAAACTTACTTACTATGTCAAAAGTTACATGGTAATTGTTACGATGGCAACAGTTACTATGTCAAAAGTTACTTACTGTGGCAAAAGTTACTATGGCAATATAATTACTATGGTAACAGTTACTTACTATGGCAATAGTTACTGTGACAAAAGTTACTATGGCAATAGTTACTATGGTAACAGTTACTTCCTATGGCAAAAGTTACTATGGCAATAGTTACTATGGCAATAGTTACTATGGTAACAGTTACTATGGTAACAGTTACTTACTATGGCAATAGTTACTATGGTAACAGTTACTTACTATGGCAAAAGTTACTATGGCAATAGTTACTTACTATAGCAAAAGTTACTATGGCAATAGTTACTATAGCAATAGTTACTATGGCAATAGTTACTGTGACAAAAGTTACTATGGCAAAAGTTACTATGGCAATAGTTACTATGGTAACAGTTACTTACTATGGTAACAGTTACTTACTATGGCAATAGTTACTATGGTAACAGTTACTTACTATGGCAATAGTTACTATGGCAAAAGTTACTATGGTAATAGTTACGATGGCAACAGTTACTATGGCAAAAGTTACTATGGTAATAGTTACTTTTTATGGCAATAGTTACTATGTCAACAGTTACTTACTATGGCAAAAGTTATTTTTCAATTATTTTTCAGTTATTTATTCAAATAACTTTTGATCTGAATTTAAAAAGCCACGAAACCCTAGATGTAGGCGCAACTTTTTTTTTTCCTGATTTTTTTTTTTTTTTTTATTAAGAATTAGTCATAACTGTTACTAATTCAATTGCTAAACAAATAGGCATTCTTTCATTAGTTGAAAACTATACTAATTCAAATTTAGAGAGTATAGTAATAGTAATAAGTAAAAATGAAATAAAAAAAAAAAAATATTTTTATTTAATATTTAAAATTTTTTTCTTCATCCCACTTAATGTTACTGATTTGGTACAAATACCGATACTGTACAATAAAATCTTGCTGGTTTACCCAAAAGCGTACTTCTATAAATAATGTCTAGTGAACTATTTACTGACATCAGGCTAAATGATCCAGTTCCACAATATATTTGAGGTATAAGATTTGCAATAGGTGCACCGGGATTTGTGTAAACATCTAAAGATTGAGTGGCACAAAGAAGCTGAAATTAATATATATATATATATAGTTAATGAAAAAAAAATATTCTTGAGTTTTTTAAGAATAGCAAAAGATTTATAATTGAAACAAGTAAAACTTTTGTTAATATAGTGAAACATTTCGCTGTTTCAGCTAAATTTTTTTTTTTCCTTCTTAAAATGTTTAAATTGAGGGTTCTTTTTTTTGGGGGGTGGGGGCACTAATTACAATTTTAATAGTCAAATTTTTTCTAAAAAAAAAAAAAAAAAAAAATTGTTGAAAAAAAAGTTTTTTATGCTAAAAATTTATAAGCGATACTGAAAGGGTTAAGATTATTTTTTGTTATAAATATATGTTATATCACTTACCGAAGAAGGTACATCAAACTCATTACATGTCATATTAACACGAGCGTTAGCATCAGTCGCGACGTGCCATGTGCAATGTTCAGCTCCAGAATTTTTATTTGGATAATTAGTATTTCTTATAGATTCTGTTGCTGAAATTATATAACGTTGTAAAATTTTAATAATTAATCTATAAAAATTTTTTAAAATAATTATAAGTAGAGTAAAAATTTAAGAACAGCAGATTTAAGTGTAATAATTATATTATTATTTATCATTTCAAAATTTATAGCTGATTAAAATTTAAAAAAAAATAAAAATTTTTTGAATAGTTACATGCTAATAATGTTCAGTGAATAAATGAAATGAAAATGAAAAAAATAATCGACTATTTATCTATATAATGTTTATTTAAAATTTTAATTGGTATAAAAAAAAGTTTTTTTGAATCAATTAGATTAGATCTAGTTAGATTAAAAAAGTATATGTATCATAAAGTATATAAATAAGATACTAACATAAAATAGTCGTTAACGATATTCCAAAATCGCATTCATTATCTTGTGCATTACTTTTATTTATTAGAATGAGAATAAATAAAAAGTAGAGAGTTGATGAAATTTCTGAAAATAAAAATTTTACTTTTTTTTTTAAAAACTTATATTTATATATATATATATTTTATATTTATTTCTTATATAAGTGATCCAATAGCAAAAATGTGAACATTGAATTTTTTTTGGAAAATTAAAAAATATTTTTCAATTTATTTTTTTGAAAGACCCTTTTTTTTATCACTTTAAAATGCGAAGCTTATAATGTATACTTGTAATAAACAAATTAAAGCAAAAAAAAAAAAAACTAACATTTTGTTTAATTTGTTTATTAAAAAATTTTTTTTAATTGGATCATTTTAGAAATTTTGCCCCATTTATATATACATATATATGTTCTATATGGGGTATTCCACGCCAAATCAGACACCATTTTATTTTTTTTTTTTAATTTAATTTAAAATTGATACAATTTTTAAGAAATTTATTATAAAGCATTAAAAAAAAAAAAAGAAAAATCATTAAAAAAATAAGTGTTATAATAATATATTTTTAAAATATATTTTTAAATAAAATATAAAAGTTGATATTACCAAAATAACGAAAACCTTGCGTTAATCGATTAACAAACATTTTTTCAGTTGTTATATTTTTCAACAAATATAATTATTTTTCTTTCAAATTGTTTCTCTCTCTATACATATATATATATATATATATATATATATATATAATATGTTTTGAGTATTATCAAACTATGATGATTTGTAATTTTTTATCCAACGTTTATATAGTCACGAATTTTGCTATTTAAAATGTTTATAATGCATGAAAAAAAAAATTTACATTAAATTAAGAATATTTAGATGCTATTATTTGTTGAAATAATGATTAAAACTAAATTATATTATCATTCAATAATGTTTGTTTAAAAATTTAATTTTAGAATTTACTTTTTTACACGTGTATGTTAATTTGCCAAATTTTTTTTTTTCGATAACTACGCAATTATTTGAATGAAAATATAATTTACTTAAAGTTAAATTTAAAACTATTCTATTTATAAAATTATAATATATTTAATATTTAAAAATTTCATGAAAATTTGAAGGTAAATTTTTATATGATAATCAAAAATATATTATTTATTTATATATATATACTAGGGGGGGGGGCTTTTTTGGTTTTTGTGGCCTTTTATAATCTATTTTCAATTTATTTTCATTTTTTGATCATTTTCCTCTGAAATTTGACCTAAATTTTAAGGTTATGTTTGTTTCTTGATTGTTTCCCGCCAAAGTAACATAACCTCAAAATTTAGGTCATTTTTAGCGAAAATTTCTACATAACTCTCAACGAAAGGAATTGCGGCTATATTCCTCGGAAAGTGCCCCCTGGAAGTTCTATCAGAATTCCGTCGGAATTCCAGTGGGGTTCCAAATAATTTCCGATAATATTCCGATGGAATTCCGATTAATTTTTTTTCAAAATTTTTAGAGTCCTTATTCTGTCAGAATTCCGTCGGAATCCCATCGGAAATTCTTTGGAACTCCAATGGAATTCCGACGGAATTACGTTGGAAGTTCCGGGGGAATTCTGATACAACTTCCAGGGGGCACTTTCCGGGGAATCTTTCCAAGTGGGAAACTATACTACTGAAAGTGGTTCAATAGGGCTTTAAGAACATTTTTTTGTAGAATTAATAAATCTTTTGCAATTAAAACTACTACTTTAAGTATAGTAGATTTTACTACTTAAAATAGGAAAATAAAATTATTTTTTATTTATAATTGTTTATTATCAGTAGAATTGACTTTTTCATCCTCTCTCCTATACTGACGCTTATTTTATGCCCTAACGATTATGTAACTAATAGAGAAAATTTCTAACCGACGGGAATTGAACCCTCGACCCTAATGCTCGCTATCCGATACCTTAACCGACTAACCACGCACGCTCTCGCTACGACAGTCTGAAAATTACTCGAAAACTACTATCTTTTTTAAGTTTTGAGTTCCCACTTGGAAAGATTCCCCGGAAAATGCCCCCTTGAGGTTCTATCAGAATTCCGCCGGAACTTCCAACGTAATTCCGTCGGAATTCCATTGGAGTTCCAAAGAATTTCCGATGGGATTCCGACGGAATTCTGACAGAATTGGAACTCTAAAAATTTTGAAAAAAAAAATTAATCGGAATTCCGTCGGAATCCCATCGGAAATTCTATGGAACTCCGATGGAATTCCGACGGAATTACGTTGGAAGTTCCGGCGGAATTCTGATAGGGATTGTAAATTTTTCATCTTTTAATTATATTATAAGTTGTTTAATATTGCATAGTGCAGTAAAATCCTACTACTTAAAATGATAGTTTTAATTGCAAAGGATTTGTTAATTCTACAACAATAATGTTCTTAAAACCTATTGTACCACTTTGAGTAATAAAATCTTCTACTTAAAGTAGTAGTTTTAACTGGAAACGATTTGTAAATTCTACATCAAAAATTTTCTTTTAGTTTATGTATTTAGTTTAACTACATATTTACGTAAAATCAACTATTACTTATTAACTTCTTAAAAATAGTTACATTAACTACATCAACATGTTTAGATTATCTAAAAAAAAGTAGTTATTTTAACTACTTTCTATAGTCAAAACTACCCAATGGTAGTTGAATTTGCAACCTTTTTTTCATTGTATTCATAATAAAACAATAATAATAATTAAAAATCGATTGATATTTATTTTGTAAAATAAAATTTGTTTTTTTAAATTAAAATTAAAAAAAATTTATAATTATTAATGTATTTGAAGTGTATATATTTATTCTTTTGTATATAAAATTATAGTTTTATGAAAAAACTTACAAAATTACTAATATAAGAATATGTCGAAACTAATATATTAAAATATATTAAAAAAAAAAAAAAAATTATTCAATACATATTATAATCAATTAGAGTTCGAAAAAAATGCTCGGGTCTAATGGACCCATTGTGCCAATTGAGGGTTAAAATTTTTTTTTTTTCCTTCATCCCTCTCTTACTGTTACTTTTTTATGATTAAACAATATTTAGTGCACAATTAAATCTTGCTGGTCCACCTAAAAGCGTACTTCTATAAATCACTCTTAATGTATTATTTGTTGATATTAGAGAAAATGATCCACTTCCACAAAATACTTGAGGTACAAGATTTCCCACACTTTTGGGATTTGTGTACACATTAAAAGATTGAGTGGCACAAAGAAGCTGAAAATAATATATATTATTATTATTATTATTATTTTTTTATTTTTTTCAAAAACTTATATCAAAAAAAAATTTAGAAGCAACGATATTGAAAACCCTTGAGTAACAATATATAGTTTGAAATGATTTTTTTTTTTTTTTTTTTTTTTTTTCTCTTAAATGTCCAGTTTTTTCTAATTATGAAAGGGTTTGGATTATTTTTTGTCATATATATGTTATATCACATACCGAAGAAGGTACAGTAAACTCTTGACAATTTAAAGAAACCCTCCTATCAATCCAGGTATAGACTTCCCATATGCAATACACACTTCCAGAAATTGTTCCTGGATAATTAGGATTTCTGAAATACTCTGTAACTGAAATTTGTAACGTTAAAAAATTTATTATTACTCTTAAAAAATTTATAAATAATTATAAATAGAGTAAAAATTTAAGCACAGCAGATTTAAGTGTAATCAATTGCTGTGCTAACACTCAAATAACTACTCCTTTTATTATTATTATTATTATTATTATTATTATTATTGTTATTATATATTAAGTATTATTATTTATCATTTCAAAGTTTATAGCTGTTTAAAATTGTTTAAAAATAATTATTTGTATAGTTACATACGATAAAAATTTTGAATATTTTCTATTAAAAATTATTTTTGTTTCATTTAGATCAAATCTATTGTTAGATTAAGAGAATATGTATCAATTTCTAAATCTGAATTAGTAAAAATATTTATTAATTTAAATTAGTGCTCTCTAAATTTGAATTAGTAAAAATTTTAACTAATTTGAATTAGTGACTCACTTTTTGTTATCGAATTAGTAAAATTTTACTAATTATTAGTAACTTTTACTAATAATTAGTGAAATTTAACTAATTCAATAGCAAAAAGTGAGTCACTAATTCAAATTAGTAAAAATTTTCACTAATTCAGATTTAGAGAGTGACTCACTATTTGCTTTAGAATTAGTAAAATTTTACTAATTGTTAGTAATAGTTACTAATAATTAGTAAAATTTAACTAATTCTAAAGCAAAAAAAAAAGTAAGTCACTAATTCAAATTATAGTAAACATACTAATTCAGATTTAGAGAGTATAAAGTATATAAGTAAGATACTTACTTGCTTCTTCCTCCAATTTTTGCAAATAATGGCAATCTTCTTGAGAATTACATTTATTTATTAGAATGAGAATAAATAAAAAATAGAGAATTGACGAAATTTCTGAAAATAAAAATTTTACATTTTTTTAACTCATATATATATATTTTTTTCTGTTTCTTTCTCCTCTTTTAAATAGTGCAAAAATTTTTTTTTTTTTAAATTCATAATTTACCCCCTTTTTTTGAAAATTAAAATTTTGTTTTTTACCGTTTACGAAAAAAATAAATTTAGGAAATAATTGTTATAGTAATATATTTTTATATTATATAAATATATAGAAATTGCTATTACCAAAATAACGAGAACCTTGCGCTAATCGATTTACAAACATTTTTTCAATTGTTATATTTTTCAATAAAAATAATTATTTTTCTTTCAAATTGTTTCTCTCTCTCTCTATACATATATATAATATGTTTTGAGTATTATCAAAATATGATGATTTGTAATTTTTTATCCAACGTTTATATAGTTACAAATTTTGCTATTTATAATGTTTATAATGCATGAAAAAAAAATTTACATTAAATTAAGAATATTTAGATGCTATTATTTGTTGAAATAATGATTAAAATTAAATTATATTATCATTCAATAAATGTTTGTTTAAAATTTAATTTTAGAATTTATTTTTTACACGTGTATGTTAATTTGCCAAATTTTTTTTTCGATAACTACGCAATTATTTGGTGAAAATTAATTTACTTTAAAGTTAAATTTAAAATTATTCTATCTATAAAAATTATATATATTATAAAAATGACATGAAATTTGAAAGTAAATTTGTTATATGATAATTAAAAATATATTTCCTTATATATATATATATATATATATATATATATATATATATATATACATACATTAGGGGGCCTTCCTTCCCCCTGATTTTAATTGTTTTTGTAGATGGCCTTATGACCTATTTCGAGTTAAAGTTTGGACAATTTCTGGAATTTAAAACTATTATTAATATTTTACTATTTATTTTTTTAAATGTTATTTCCAATTTTTATTATTTTTAATTTTTAAAACAAAATTTATCTAATTTTTTAAATTTTCCTGCAAAAATTTGACCTACATTTAAAATTATGTTTGTTTTTTGGGCATTTTTCTGTAAAGTTTGACCTAAATTTTGAGTTCACCATACATTTTTTGTTCAGAACTTTCTTCTAAATACTATGGTTATATTCCGAAAAGAATATCTGGAAAATTTAATTTTTTGATATTTTTCTCTACTTTACTTAATTGTACCTCAGCATCCGCTGGACCAATCAGAAAGAGCGTCATACATTTTTTGTTCGAGACTCCCGGGTTAAGAATTTGGCGGTATTCCCGAACGATTATCTCGCGAATTTAATTTTTCGAAATTTTTTCCGAATTTGTTTTCTAGTTTAGCTCAGCATCCGCTGGACCAATCAAAAAGTGCGCCATACATTTTTTGTTCAGAACTTTCTTCTAATCACTATGGCGGTAATCCCGAACAATTATCTTGCAAATTTAATTTTTTGAAAATTTTTCCAAATTATTTTTGAGTGTAGCTCAGCATCCGCTGGACCAATCAAAAAGTGCGCCATATATTTTTTGTTCGAGACTCCCGGGTTAAGAATTTGGCGGTATTCCCGAACGATTATCTCGCGAATTTAATTTTTCGAAATTTTTTCCGAATTTGTTTTCTAGTTTAGCTCAGCATCCGCTGGACCAATCAAAAAGTGCGCCATACATTTTTTGTTCAGAACTTTCTTCTAATCACTATGGCGGTAATCCCGAACAATTATCTTGCAAATTTAATTTTTTGAAAATTTTTCCAAATTATTTTTGAGTGTAGCTCAGCATCCGCTGGACCAATCAAAAAGTGCGCCATATATTTTTTGTTCGAGACTCCCGGGTTAAGAATTTGGCGGTATTCCCGAACGATTATCTCGCGAATTTAATTTTTCGAAATTTTTTCCGAATTTGTTTTCTAGTTTAGCTCAGCATCCGCTGGACCAATCAAAAAGTGCGCCATATATTTTTTGTTCGAGACTCCCGGGTTAAGAATTTGGCGGTATTCCCGAACGATTATCTCGCGAATTTAATTTTTCGAAATTTTTTCCGAATTTGTTTTCTAGTTTAGCTCAGCATCCGCTGGACCAATCAAAAAGTGCGCCATACATTTTTTGTTCAGAACTTTCTTCTAATCACTATGGCGGTATTCCTGAACGATTATCTTGCAAATTTAACTTTTTGAATATTTTTCCAAATTATTTTTGAGTGTAGCTCAGCATCCGCTGGACCAATCAAAAAGTGCGCCATATATTTTTTGTTCGAGACTCCCGGGTTAAGAATTTGGCGGTATTCCCGAACGATTATCTCGCGAATTTAATTTTTCGAAATTTTTTCCAAATTTGTTTTCTAGTTTAGCTCAGCATCCGCTGGACCAATCAAAAAGTGCGCCAAACATTTTTTGTTCAGAACTTTCTTCTAATCACTATGGCGGTATTCCCGAACGATTATCTTGCAAATTTAATTTTTCGAAATTTTTTCCGAATTTGTTTTCTAGTTTAGCTCAGCATCCGCTGGACCAATCAGAAAGAGCGTCATACATTTTTTGTTCGAGACTCCAAGGTTAAGAATTTGGCGGTATTCCCGAACGATTATCTCGCGAATTTAATTTTTCGAAATTTTTTCCGAATTTGTTTTCTAGTTTAGCTCAGCATCCGCTGGACCAATCAAAAAGTGCGCCATACATTTTTTGTTCAGAACTTTCTTCTAATCACTATGGCGGTAATCCCGAACAATTATCTTTCAAATTTAATTTTTTGAAAATTTTTCCAAATTATTTTTGAGTGTAGCTCAGCATCCGCTGGACCAATCAAAAAGTGCGCCATATATTTTTTGTTCGAGACTCCCGGGTTAAGAATTTGGCGGTATTCCCGAACGATTATCTCGCGAATTTAATTTTTCGAAATTTTTTCCGAATTTGTTTTCTAGTTTAGCTCAGCATCCGCTGGACCAATCAAAAAGTGCGCCATACATTTTTTGTTCAGAACTTTCTTCTAATCACTATGGCGGTATTCCCGAACGATTATCTTGCAAATTTAATTTTTCGAAATTTTTTCCGATTTTGTTTTCTAGTTTAGCTCAGCATCCGCTGGACCAATCAAAAAGTGCGCCATACATTTTTTGTTCAGAACTTTCTTCTAATCACTATGGCGGTAATCCCGAACAATTATCTTGCAAATTTAATTTTTTGAAAATTTTTCCAAATTATTTTTGAGTGTAGCTCAGCATCCGCTGGACCAATCAAAAAGTGCGCCATATATTTTTTGTTCGAGACTCCCGGGTTAAGAATTTGGCGGTATTCCCGAACGATTATCTCGCGAATTTAATTTTTCGAAATTTTTTCCGAATTTGTTTTCTAGTTTAGCTCAGCATCCGCTGGACCAATCAAAAAGTGCGCCATATATTTTTTGTTCGAGACTCCCGGGTTAAGAATTTGGCGGTATTCCCGAACGATTATCTCGCGAATTTAATTTTTCGAAATTTTTTCCGAATTTGTTTTCTAGTTTAGCTCAGCATCCGCTGGACCAATCAAAAAGTGCGCCATACATTTTTTGTTCAGAACTTTCTTCTAATCACTATGGCGGTATTACCGAACGATTTTCTCGCGAATTTAATTTTTCGAAATTTTTTCCGAATTTGTTTTCTAGTTTAGCTCAGCATCCGCTGGACCAATCAAAAAGTGCGCCATACATTTTTTGTTCAGAACTTTCTTCTAATCACTATGGCGGTATTCCAGAAAGATTATCTTGCAAATTTAATTTTTCGAAATTTTTTCCGAATGTGTTTTCTAGTTTAGCTCAGCATCCGCTGGACCAATCAGAAAGAGCGCCATACATTTTTTGTTCGCTACTTTTTGCTAAAGAATTTGGCGGTATTCCCGAACGATTTTCTCGCGAATTTAATTTTTCGAAATTTTTTCCGAATTTGTTTTCTAGTTTAGCTCAGCATCCGCTGGACCAATCAAAAAGAGCGCCATACATTTTTTGTTCGCTACTTTTTGCTAAAGAATTTGGCGGTATTCCCGAACGATTATCTCGCGAATTTAATTTTTCGAAATTTTTTCCGAATTTGTTTTCTAGTTTAGCTCAGCATCCGCTGGACCAATCAAAAAGTGCGCCATACATTTTTTGTTCAGAACTTTCTTCTAATCACTATGGCGGTATTCCCGAACGATTATCTTGCAAATTTAATTTTTCGAAATTTTTTCCGAATTTGTTTTCTAGTTTAGCTCAGCATCCGCTGGACCAATCAGAAAGAGCGTCATACATTTTTTGTTCGAGACTCCCGGGTTAAGAATTTGGCGGTATTCCCGAACGATTATCTCGCGAATTTAATTTTTCGAAATTTTTTCCGAATTTGTTTTCTAGTTTAGCTCAGCATCCGCTGGACCAATCAAAAAGTGCGCCATACATTTTTTGTTCAGAACTTTCTTCTAATCACTATGGCGGTATTCCCGAACGATTATCTTGCAAATTTAATTTTTCGAAATTTTTTCCGAATTTGTTTTCTAGTTTAGCTCAGCATCCGCTGGACCAATCAAAAAGTGCGCCATATATTTTTTGTTCGAGACTCCCGGGTTAAGAATTTGGCGGTATTCCCGAACGATTATCTCGCGAATTTAATTTTTCGAAATTTTTTCCGAATTTGTTTTCTAGTTTAGCTCAGCATCCGCTGGACCAATCAAAAAGTGCGCCATACATTTTTTGTTCAGAACTTTCTTCTAATCACTATGGCGGTATTACCGAACGATTTTCTCGCGAATTTAATTTTTCGAAATTTTTTCCGAATTTGTTTTCTAGTTTAGCTCAGCATCCGCTGGACCAATCAAAAAGTGCGCCATACATTTATTGTTCAGAACTTTCTTCTAATCACTATGGCGGTATTCCCGAACGATTATCTTGCAAATTTAATTTTTCGAAATTTTTTCCGAATTTGTTTTCTAGTTTAGCTCAGCATCCGCTGGACCAATCAGAAAGAGCGTCATACATTTTTTGTTCGAGACTCCCGGGTTAAGAATTTGGCGGTATTCCCGAACGATTATCTCGCGAATTTAATTTTTCGAAATTTTTTCCGAATTTGTTTTCTAGTTTAGCTCAGCATCCGCTGGACCAATCAAAAAGTGCGCCATACATTTTTTGTTCAGAACTTTCTTCTAATCACTATGGCGGTATTCCCGAACGATTATCTTGCAAATTTAATTTTTCGAAATTTTTTCCGAATTTGTTTTCTAGTTTAGCTCAGCATCCGCTGGACCAATCAAAAAGTGCGCCATATATTTTTTGTTCGAGACTCCCGGGTTAAGAATTTGGCGGTATTCCCGAACGATTATCTCGCGAATTTAATTTTTCGAAATTTTTTCCGAATTTGTTTTCTAGTTTAGCTCAGCATCCGCTGGACCAATCAAAAAGTGCGCCATA